GAATAACTACATATCCACCTTACTCTCCTTTAAGAGTTTTTATTTGTTCGATTATTTTTGATGAATAGAACGTCAGCTACGGGTAGTTGAATATCGTAACTTTGCGTTCAAAAACAACTTTTCTGGATAATTTGATCGGGAAATCATGCACAAGAAATTTCGGTACGTATGAGAAAATCTTGTACGTAGAATTCGAAAGCTATTCGAAAGCTATCGATTATTCGTTAAAAGAAACCTAAAAGTGACAAAGAAAATTATCTTAGGAATATCAAAGCTCTTTAAAAACAAGGAAATACATTCGTATAGATCAGCGATTATGCAAAATCATTTATTTAAAATCACCCACTATAAGAAGTCTGTTATTATATATAGAATAATTCATTAATAGTAATTGATTTATCTCTAATAATACTCTAAAAAGTCAGATTTTATAGTATCATTCTTCATAAGATCCTTTTCCTTTGTTATCGAAAGATTCCTTTTCCTCTTTGTTATCGAAAGGCTTTCGGCCCGATTTATGGGAGGCTGATTTGCCCACACAAATTTTTTGTGTAAACCGTGAAAACTGATTTTACATAGCAATTAAAAAAAGTCGACTCACATAAGATTAATATTCGTTGATAAAAAATTGTATAAATTTATTAAAAGCTGAGTTAAATTTGCCAAGATAATAAAAAATTAATTAAAAAATTGTATTCTACTTTAATTTTGAAAATATAAAATAACGTTGTTAATTATTTTTTGATTGATTTTCTGATTATCTAGACTCATTGGCTAAGAACACAGGCTTTTGTAAAAACGCTCATGGGTTCCAGCACCGAGCATGTAAAAATCTTCATATTTTTTATCGTTCCACATGGACTCAGTTCTTGAAGTCACAATAATAATAATAATAATTTGACTTTGCCGATAAGTGAAAAACGACACAATAAAAGCGTTACTCTTTGAGCAACAGCTATATTTTTATTAAGAAATGACGAAAATGGCTTTATTTTTCAATGAATTAAAAATAATGCACGAACTGATCAATAAATTGTCAAAAAATTATGTTAAAAGCGTTTCATAAAATCTTCCAAATTTGTTGCAGCATTAATCGCAAACGCTTTTCATTAAAATCTATGTGTATTTATAATAATTATTTGAACGAGAAAGACAATATGCGTTTTGTATAATGAAAAGCGTTTTGATTATTGTAAGTAACGAGTATTATTGCAAGTTACATTATTGTTATTTAATTGAAAAATAAAGCCAGTTTCGTGTATTAAGACAAAAAACCCAACCCAAGGAATTAGTGTTCTACTTTATATTATTTATCATTAAACAATAATAATGAATTAGTAACACGGTATAATATCAGTAATAAGATGAAAAAACCGCTTTAAATTAGAGCCCATGACGACACTCGTCAGGAAATACTCGTTTGCCTGACTATAGTTGCGTAATGTAATACAAGATAGGTTGTAGAGCAATCAAGTGTACAGACACGACTATAGCCAAATCTGCTAGAGACACAGTAGGAAAGCAAATCGAAGGCAAGCGAAGAAAACACATGGAATCTGGAGTAATCTTACAAATGGACATTGTTTTACATAGGAAATAGAGAAGAAGTGGAGAAGAGAGGGAGGCTGCCCGCTAGGCGCCAGCAGACTCGATATAAACGATAGCCGTTACTTTTTCAGAAAAGTATCCAGTTCAGCAGCAACAGCAGCCGCGCAGTAACAGCACTAGCAAAGCAGTTGCAGCGTGGTCGAGCTACTGACAAATTTGGCACAGTGCAGTTACGATGTCAGTATGGCTCTGCCTGAAATAAGATACAACGAGAGAAGGAAACAAACGGCTAAGAAGGAAAAAGTAAAAAGTTACTTCTCTTCAAGTTTCCAGTGGTGCGATGAAAGCCGCCTGCACAAGAGTGTCGTTCTTTTCGAGAAAGAGAGAGAGAGAGAGAGGAAGAGAGAGAGCATCCAGCAGCAGCGCAGAGGAAGCGGAAAAAGACGTGAGAAAGAGAAGAGATGCACATAAATTACACAAATTTTATACCGAGCAGTCGAGCACCAGCACTGCAACAATTTTTCTCCTTTTTCCGTATTCGTCTATTACAGAATCTTTTCGACAATCTTCCCCACGTACTTTTACCAAATCTCTTGCCACAGTTTATTTTATAGTGGCGCTAGCTGCTCCGGTGCTATTAAAAAAGAACATCCCAAATATACTCGTACATGTAAGTTTTCTTGTTGTTACACTAAATACTACCGTGATATAAAAACCATTCTACATGCAAGGAAAATACTTGTATGTAAATTATGCTGTCTTTTTATAAAAAATCAACATCTTTTAGGTTTTAATCATAAACTAATGTATTTTGAATACAAATCTCTCGAAGGAAATTCGCGCATTTTTAAGAATTTTGAGCTGCATAAATTCATTAAAGAGTCATTTTCTTCATTGGTTCAGAAACGATATTTTATTGAAATTTAATCTGCAGGCAGGCAACTAATGAAATTCATAATTTATCTGTTCGACAATGCTGTTAAATTGCCGCTAAACAAGAACGTGACGATGTGCATACGTGCATACATATACGATGAGATATGCATTCGGAATTGCAATTAGTTAAATTTAGTCCGAGGATCAAGCTAAAATTTGCTGTAAATAAGAGTTACCAAGGTTCTCGAGATGAAAAATTGGCCTCCCTTGTCACTCGCCTCGAGTTCCTATGATACAACAAATTGTACAATATTGCACTGCTCGAATTGCTGCTCGCTTGTACAAACGAAAGTTTTATTGCAAACTAAGTTTTGAAAATGATTTCTATTGCGCAAAGTCTCGGAGAGCAACAAATATTATTCTGAAATATCGAAGAAAGCCGAATGTCCGAGCGAATCATTGACTTGTTCTACTTAGTTTGAATAGGCAAGGAAGAAGCATTGACACGAATAGTTTAGGCGAGGAAAAGACAGGGGCTGCAGAGGCTAGAGATAGAAGAAGAGTGGGGACAGTTGCATTATTGTTGGAGCCACAATAAGCGCGCACGCAAGTTTGTATTTTGAAGCGAGCCGAAGAATACAATAGAAGTACGCCGTAAGCGTCCGACAAGGAGTGGAGCTTCGAGTACGTTTATCATGATTCTAATGGAGCGCACAATGTGGCTAGAGCGCGCAAGCGGCAGCAGCAATAGCGGCAAGGAAGAGCGACCGGCGCTAAAAGATCAACCTGAAAATGAAAATCTTGGCCCTTTGACGTTTGGAAAGAACAAAGAATGCTGGCGAGCGAGTCGCTAGAACAAATGGACCTTTCTTTGCGCGAGAGGACGTTTTGACGCTCGAACGCCTGGAGGCTAGGGCCGGGCGCGCTACTACTTTACTATAGCGGCAGAGGCATTCTCGCGCGCGCCCGCCGTGCTCCCACAATTCTTTTGCCCCGCAATCGCACGTCGCTATACTTGTTCTGTTGTTTCTCGCTGCCAGCTTCGGCCCGATTAGCGCCGATCGACCTAATCCTCGCTCGCTTTCTAACTCCGCGCAGCGCGCGTGTGTACACGTACTTACCAATGATTGCAAGAGAATCGTCCATCATTTTTTTGCAGCTCAAATGAGTCGATTCGACGGAGGATTGCGACGTGTCTGCAAGCAAGATATTCAAGATCAGCGGTAATAGTGGCTCCGCTTATGAAACACGTCCTCGATTCGGAGCAACCTCAAAGATGATTGACGTCCTTTCTCGGGGATCTGCCTTGCGCACGATGAGATGGATATTTTGCCGCTCGCCGGTTTTCCAAATGCGTGGAAGCCGCAAATGGAATAAAAGAAGGAGCACAAAGAACGAGCAAGCGAGAGCCAGAGAGATTTGATACATCTATATATATATATATATATATATATATATATATATATATATATATATATATATACGCGTGCGCGTGTGTGTGTATATACATATATATAGGGGGCCGCTCTCGTAGGCAAGCGGGAAGTTTGGTACGCTCTAGCTGCGGATCCATTATGCTCTGACCAATAGGATGAGCTTAAGCTTCTTATCCTTTACGATTGTGTGTCTGCTATCAAGACGCGCCTTAGGGATATAAGCTATGCGTGCTCGCGCCCTCGTGTTTGTCTGGATGTGTAAATGGCAATGTATATATATCGCGCAGTCAGCCCCTCGAGCTAGCAGCGCACACGCACACACGTCCAGATCAAGCTGCGCCGGTATCCATTTCGCCTGGCGCCTTAACTTCGACGCCATTCGAATTCAGTCGCTTATAGAAATTACGTCTTTGTGCCTCGGCATAGAAAAAAGGCACTTCTCACTGTCGTCCGTAAGAACGAGTCTTTGTATGGCTTATCAACGTTTCTCTCTCTCTCTCTCTCTCTCTCTCTCTCTCACTCGCCAGTTTAGCAGTGACAGCGGAAAATAACGTATGCGCTGACCGAGCAAAAATTAACTGGATTTCGGTGAGCTGGTCATTCTGATTTATGAGCGTTCTCTTCAGCCGGCACTGCTTGATATTCGTAAACGAAATCGACAGTTCAATCGGAACACTCGACTGCGAGAAGACGACGGTTCGATAGGTGGCTTACTTTATCTTGGGAGATAATTAACGCTCAATATTTGTCGAGCGAGTGGATCAAAGTGGCGAGTGCGCGGAGGTGCACGAAGGGGGCGCTCAATTAAAATCGATTGATCGTAAAGCGATGCGCTTTTGACATGTGGCAAAAGCGCATCGCAAATTTTAATGGCGGCTGAGGCGCGTTAAACGAGTTGGAGCCGTTTGGCCGTTAGAGAGGCGCGAAAAAGGACAAGTGAGTTTGCAGTGAGCAAAGAGTGCGAAGAAGCAAGGGCGAAAAAAAGACGAGGCAAGCAGTGTCGCTGAGAGGTATAAATCAGAAGACGGCGGCGGCGGCGGCGGCGCAGAAGGAGCAGGCGGAGGAAGAGGAAGAGGGAAGGGAAGGGGGTTAGGGCTACTAGACGACGCCGGCGGCGGAGAGAAAAAGGCCGTCAATAAAATGCAAGACCAGAGGAGAGATAAAGGCGAAGATAAGCCTGTCGCGGGTGCGCATCGCGAATACTTGGACGAGGAGTTTAGCAGCGAGGACGAGGCGCCCGAGGAGAAAAGTGAGATTTATGGAAAAAGTAGTAAAATCGCAGGCCGCTCGGCCGCTCGGTCGCTCGCTCGCTCGCTGCATCGGCCAACTTCATTTTCGTTCCTGAGCACGCAAGCGGATTACCAAGCGAATAATTTTAAATTGAAATTTTTTCGGGATTCGCGGCGACACCGCCCCGCGCACTAGCTGCTGTCGCCTATCCGGCGCTTTATTTTCACGGCGAGCGGCGACGAGGCTGCGCAAATCTGCATCCCAACTCTGCCCGGCCCCCGCTCTATACCTCGACTAGTTCACGCTTTCGATAAACAGAGGCAGCTTCCGCAGCGCAAACTCATCGAAATGCAGCGCTGCCAATTAATTCGCTTCCGAATCGCACGGCGCTCGCGCGAGCTCGCGCAAACTCGCGCAAGGAGGGTGGCTCGCGCGCCCGGCTCGGAAGTGCGCACACCGATTACGACTGTCATTCCTTTTTTCCATTACACGCCAAAGGCCGAAAAAGTTTGTCTTTGTTCGTAATCCACAACTATGCCGGCGCGAACGCCGCAGCGCAGCAGGCCAAAAAAGCGCCTTAGAAAAAGTAGCAATTTTGCCAGGCAATGCACTTTCTCATTGAATTCACTTAACAATGAAAACTGGACAAAGAGAAAGCGCTGAAAATTGAGCGAACGAGCGAGCTGAAGGGGCGGTCCGGGGCGGTCTGGGACGGCAGTGGCGGCAGTGGCGGCAGTGGCGGCAGTGGCGAGCGCTGGAAAAAATCAACGGGGCCCGGCCATTCGCGAGCGAGAAATCGCGACTCGACAGCGCCGCCAGCAGCCCCGGCTCGGATAAATGAAAGATCTCGATGAACTTTTAATTGCAGGAGAGCGCCGCGACGGCCGACGCGCCCAGCTCGACCAATTCAGCGGGAATTCACCGAGAGCCACGTACAGCCAGAAAGAACTCGACAAATTAGTGAGTTTGAATGCGATGCCCGCTAAGCCCTTATTGTCCATGGCTTCCGCGCGGCCTTAATCAAATAACACTCTCCGCAGCGAGAGCCGCCGCTCTCGCTTTCAGCCGGCAGACCGACGCGCCTGCAACCTTTTCATATTTCAGCGCCTGCCTTCGCGCGCTAGCTATTATCGAGCCCGGCTGTCCGCTGCCGCCAGCTATCCTCGCTACTATCCCCCTCGCCCCGTGCGCGCTCCACTTTTCAGGTTGATCGCGTGAAAAAGCTGACGACGCTCGGCGGCCTGCGCGACGAGCACTGGAACGACGACTGCCTGGCGGTCGTCCGCGAGTTCGTCGGCAACAGCGGCGCGGCCATCCTCACCCTCTTCTTCGGCAGCGACTCCGAGCTCCGCGCCCGACTGTCCGTGCCCGACGAGCCCGTGCGCGAGCTCGCGTACTTCTCCAGGAAGCCCGGCCAGCTGCTCCGCCCGGACGGCTTGTCCGACCAGCTTCTCTTCGGCACCATCAATGGCAACGTCGAGCTTGCCATTCTCATCTTGCTCAGAGACGTCATTTTCCCGGTGTGCCGGACAGGCAGCGCGTCCTGGTCCGACAGTATCCTTTTCGCCTCTTCGCCTCTTCGCCTCTTCGCCTCTTCGCCTCTTCGCCTCTTCGCCTCTTCGCCCTTTCGCCTTTTCGCCTTTCCGCTGCCGATAATGCCCACCTATCCACACGACTACACGACAGCTCCGGATAATTGCTCTGGCCTCGTTAAGTCCAGTCGGCTTTTGTTATTCGACAATGATAATTGCACAAAGCTTCGCGCAGTTATTAGCCGAGCCATCGACTAATTTTCGAGCGGTATTAGCTGTAATTGAAGCCATCCAGCTGCTATTAAACTCGCGCAGAAGGCATGTCCGTCACTGGGATCGGACATTTTGACTACAAAGCGATTACAAGTGACTACTATACGCGGCAGGCATGCATTGTTCGTGCAAGTTCCTGAACCGCTAAGCATGTGTGAAGGAGGACTTTTGCTCGAGCGTCGAGAGATTTCTGTGCGAGCTGACTGACCTGACCTATAAAATGCTGGGCTTGAGCGTGATATACCAACCGAGCGAGGCTGCCGAGCCGAGCATCGAGGAGGCCAGCCTCGATAAGAAGCTGGTGAAGCGGTTCGAGCAAATCGTTGTCCACTGGACGAGGCAAATCAGAATTGCCCTCAGCGACCAGAACCCGAGCGAGGCCGGCGAGCTGCTCTCCTTCAAAGACGAATGCGACTTCTGGATCTACCGCTGTAAGTGTCCATTCACCACAATCCACGGTTGTACTCTTCTCTGCTGACCTCGGCTCTCGAGGTCAGCAGTCCGACCCGTGCTCTTTTCTTCGGCGCACGCAACACGCGCCGATGCAATGTTATTTCACTCGACGGCGACAGCGACGGCGACCGCGACGGCGACGCTCGAACGCTGAAGAGTTAGGTACGCGGGGGACGAGGCCGGGAGGCGCAGCTCGGCTCGGTTTTGATATTTTAATGGAGATTCGAGATTCCGGGCAAACGTCAAATAGTAGTGATGGTCGTCTAGTGGAGCGAACAGTGCAATAGCTGCTCCTCGATAAAGGGAGCAAAATCAATTTGGCAGGCCACGGCTAGATGCCTGCAATTCTCGTTAGGCTGATCGACCAATTGATTCGATTCGCGAGAAGGCCGAGCAAACAATCCACAATATATCTGGCAAGGAGAAAGAAGCGGGCTTTAGGACTCGATACAGGCGGCAGACGAGAGGCGCAGCGATACGGAAAATGGAGTATACTCGGCTGTCAGCGGCGGATAATCCTTGCGGCATTATGTGATCGATGATAAAAGAGGGGCGGCAGGCAGGCAGCCGCGGGCGGTGCACTCGGCCGAGGCCTCGCAGCGACTCCTCGCGAGCTCTTTGCGCCGCGGCAAAGCTGCGCGCCGACAGGGCGCAGCGGGAATCGCTCGTCAGCCCATTTCTCGAACGAGTGGCTCTATCTCGATCGGATAAAGTTGGCCGTCGATCGACGTGAAGCCGCGGCCGTGGCTGGAGCCGGAGCCGAGCGGCCGAGAGAGCGACGTCTCGCGCGGAGCCGGGACAAGCAGCGAGCGCCGATCCACTTGGCCGCGAGGCGGATATTTATGGGACGCGGGACGAAATGAAAATTTGGAGCCGCCGCCAGCGATAGCAGTAGCGGCAGCACGACGCGGCGCTGTCGGGGCGCTGGCGGGGCGCAGCCGAGGGCGTGCACTCGATTTTATCCAGATACTCGAGGCTCGGCGCGATAGGAGCCGCCAGGCAAAGAAAGCCATCCACTCTCGCTAAATTTGCAAATTTTACGGGAGCCCGGCCAAAGGGGCGCTGCCGAACGCTCGATTTCATATACTCGAGTCAGCCGGCGAGCTGCGCGCGGCCTTATTTATTGTTAGTAGAGTCCGCCGAGCGCCTCTAGATATAAATCCAGCTAGCCGCTCGATTGGCGCGGTAAAAGCCAATTCGCTTCCGGATCGAACAAACGTTGCCGGGCTGCGCGGCGAAATGATGTATCGACATAATTGGCGATCACAGCCAAGGACTGGACGGCGACAGATGGAGAATAATGGCCAGTCCGCGGCGCTGGGAGGAGGTGGGCGGGAGGGTCGCGCGAGGGCGCGCGAGGGCGCGCGGTGGCGCGCGGGGGCGCGCGGGGGCGCGCGGGGGCGAGACGGAGCCGAGGACGAACCGCGGCGGCGCGCCGACTCGCCGGCTCAGCGGCTCGTCGGCTCGTCCGCTCATCGGCCTTTGGCGGCTCGGTTGCAGACGAGAACCTGCTCGGGCTGCGGCAGCAGCTGGACGGGTCGGCGGCGCGGCGGCTGCTGCGGCTGCTGGCTGCGGCGCGCTCGGGGCAGGCGCGCCGCCTGCAGGCCCTCGCCGCGGAGCTGGAGCGCGCGCTGCGCGAGGCCCGCGCCAACCTGCAGCTGCTGCGCGTGCTGGAGGAGCCGTGCGCCGCGCTGGCGGGCCTGGGCCCGGAGCGCCGCCCCGAGGAGCTGCTGGCCCGGCTGGCGCGGCTGCTACAGCTCTGCCGCGTGGTCTGGCTGCACTCGGCCTACTTCGGCGAGCCGCGGCGCGTCGGCAGGCTGTTCGAGCTGCTGGGCAACCAGGTCATCGGCTGCTGCAGGGCGACCATACCCCTGGAGCGCCTGCTCGCCGGCGAGAGCGGCGCGGCCGGCCAGGCGCTGCGGGCCAGCCTGCAGCTCTGCAGCCAGTTCCGCCGGCTGTACGGCCAGGTTCGCGCGCGGCCCGATGAATCAGCGCCCTCGTCGGGTCGATGAACCGGCGCCCTCCCGGGCCGCGCTGTCAACGCGCCGTTTTCCTCCCCTCGCTGCCCCCACATTCTCTGCGAGCCCCTTCTTTTTCCTTTTTCCTTTTCCTTTTTCCTTTTTCCTTTTCCTTTTTCCTTTTTCCTTTTTCCTTTTTCCTTTTTCCTTTTGCCGGCGTGGCCCGCAACGATTCACTCTGTCGCCTTTGCTCTGTTTTATGGGCTAATTCGCGCTTTCACGCGCCGCACATTATACCCACGCTCGTTTTTCACCATTGGCGCCCCACTATTTGTCATCCTTTAACGATCTCTTTCGTGCTTTCTTTCTTTCATTCTCTAGCCATTCCTCCTCTCAGCTGAATCGACTGCGAAGACCTTCCGCCGTGGCGCGCCGCTCGTTCGACGATTTGATGTCTTTGACGCTCTGTCCACTGAATAAGCTCGTTGCGCCCGCGCTCGTCCTCCCGTCGACGATCGCGAGCGTTATCGCGCTGCCAACGAAATCACGCCTAATTTTCTATTCACGCGTACGAAGCTGCTTCTGTCCCACCCGCCTCGTCTATCCACTCGCGGAAAAAAAAAACTTGCCAACAGTCGTAACTTTCAACTTGCCAACTTTTCACAATCGCGCCCAACTATTTTCGCAATCTTTCTACTCGAGCTTTTTCCCCGCGACTTTTTCTTTTCCATTAGCTACCGACGAGCAAAAAATAATTGCAGCAAGCCACAAACCCATCTCTCGACGCGCTCCTTATGTGCGCATTTGAGTGCATCACTCGCTCTCCCGGAAACTCCAAACTATTATAAAGCTATTTACCTAGCCGGTTTTTTCCAAATTTCACGCTCTCCTGCGCCTTGCATTATACTTTTCCACGCGAGCAAATACAACCGAAACTTTTTTTCGCAAACGAGATTACGCTCGTTGATTGTTTTCATTTAACAGCAGCGAGGGAAGGAAAATAGCGTAAAAACAACGGCTACCAGTCGCTTGTCACGTGCGCTCTTCTTAGAGCGACAAACGAGGCTGTGCATTTTTAAATTTTTCGCACGAAAGTCTTGCGCCAGCGGAAGGAATATTTAACAGTCGATCGTGCTTCCTTCGGGTCGGCAAATCAACCGGGAGATGAGCGAGCGGGCATCGCGGCAGCGACAGTCGACGGAAATATTTCACATGCAAAGCACCAAATCGCAGCGCAAATTTTTATGCGAATTGCTAGCTTAACGTTTACCTATCGTTGGAATTCCAGATCTCAAGAGCCCATAACAAGCTGACGCATCACGGCTGGCAACTGAATGCCGACCAAGTTTTCCAATACATAAACGTCTTCGTCGTCAGGTGCCACGACCTCGCTGAAATCTCACAAGCGATTATCGATTTTGCAAGGTACTTTTTCTCTCCGCCGCGCGCGTTTGCCGCCTTCGATCGTTAGCCCGGATTATGCGCCCGCTACGCACGCTCGTGTATGTTTTGCCGGCGCAACGGCGACGCGGCCGCGAGCGGGATCAGAGCGACGCTTTTCGTCGTCGATGCCCAAGTAGTCCGTTTCAATGCTCGGACTGCTCGGACTGCTCGGAAGCGGAGCTCGAATCGCGTCGACTCGCGCGCAGACCCTCGGCTTGCCGCGGACGAGCCGAGCGGCCGTGGCCACTGCACTGCCGGGCGCTCCCGCCTCGCGCCAGCCGGCTTCCACGCCGCGGGACCCCTAAGCCCGGCGCCCGCTCCTCACGGCGGCCCCGTTGCGCCGCAGGACGGATGACGGCGCGGCGGCCACCGCCAGGTTCGGCGGCTCGAGGGGCGCCGAGCACGAGCGGGCCTGGGCGAGCATCGAGCAGCGCTTTGCCGAGCTGATGCAGTGGCTGCGCGGCGTCTCCTGGAAGATCCTCAACGTGCGCCAGTCCGACTGGCCCGACGACATGTCGCGCTTCCGGCGCGAGCTGCGCGCGCTGCAGCTGGCCGCGGGCGGCGCGCTGGGCCGTGCGCTCCAGCAGACGGCCAACGCGGAGGAGGCGCTGCGGCTGCGGGGCCTCTGGCGGCTGGCGCGCCGCGAGCAGTTGGCCCGGCCACGGCAGCTGCTCGCCGCCGAGGTCGCGGCGGTCCGACTGCGGCTGGCGGCCGAGCGCACCGAGTACTCGGCGCTGGGCCCGCGCTGGGCCGGCCGCGCGCTCGCGCTGCGCCTCGCGGCGGCGCGGCTGGCCGGCCTGGCGGGGCTGCTGCGAGCCCGCGGGCCCGGGGCGACCGTGGCGGCCGGGGCGCTGCGCCAGTGCCCGCTGCTGCTGGCCGCGCTGGAGGCGCGCGGCGCCGAGCTGCACCGCGGCTGGCTGGCCGAGCTGGGTGCCGGGCCGCCGGTTCGGCTGGACCGCGCGCTGCTGCGCCGCGGCGCCGGCGGCGGCCTGCGCTGCGACGCGCCGCCGGGGCTGGCCAGCCTCTCCGAGGAGGCCGCCTGCTGGCTGGACATGGGCTTCCAGCTGCCGCTGGACGTGCAGCAGCTGCACGCTCGCTGGTCCGGCCTGTACCTCGTCTACGAGAACGTCCTGGCCATCGCACGAGCTTACAACGCCATCGTCGGGGGTACGCCGCTTGTCCTGTGCCTGCCCTTGCTAGCTTGCTTCCGCGCTCGCGTGTCGCGTCAGCTCGGCTATTTTGTTGAGTGAATGCTCCAAGAGCAACCGATGAGCCTCAAAGTGACTCTCGTTTTTCGCCCGCACGGCTGAGGGAGTGTCCACGCGGGATCCCTCTTCCTTCCCAGCCCCGGGGCCGTCCCCGTCCCAGTTTTTGTATGCGCACGTCATCTCGAGAATTTCGAGTTCATAGATTAAGATGCGTATCTCGCGTTCATTATGAAACTTACCACTGAGCTCCAAGTTATAGAGATGGTGTGTGTATATAAAATTTTGGATGGGAACGGCCCCGGGGACAGGACGAAAGAGAGACCCCTTTTACACACTCCCTGACTGACTGACTGACCGACTGTCACGTGCTCTTACAGTTTCAATTAAACGAGAGCTCGCGGAGTCCACTGTATTCTCAAAACAAATTGCAGAGCATTTGATATTCAATGCTTGAGTAAAGGTGGTTATTTCGGTTTCTTGAGTTAGGCACATGTCTTTTTACCATATCAGTGTTCGTTTCATTCAAATTGAATTTCGTGACTAGAATATCAACCTTGATTCTTCTTCGTTTCTATAATAAATTTTGCAGCCTTATCGGACGAAGAGAAATTACTTTTTCGAGAGCTCATCCGAGAACTTGATAGTAAAATCAAACCAGGATTGAGAAAGCTTACATGGAATTCGGATTATATCGAAGATTATATTAAAGATTGCAATACGCATACTGCTAACGTAAGTTAAGTACCAGGAATCTTTGTTTCCACACATATACGATTTTATCAGTAGTCCAACGGATAGACAGTTGATCGCAGAAGAAAATTTGCGTACTTATTACTGTTTCAGTAATTATTATAAGAGTTGCTTGTACTTGTTGCAGGCATTTTATTTTGAAATCAGACAAAGCCAAAGACATTTGAGAGATGTAGTTCAGCAAAAAACATTGGCTTGCTCGGTGATATGAAATCTTTAAATTAGGAGCATCCGTGAAGTATTGTTTAAAGTCCCGTAATTCCTATCAAATTTGTTAAAAATTGCTTTTTTCGCATTAATAACAAAGTATTATTACTTAATGAGCATTTCTCTTATTTTATATTGAATGTCTATGGCTTTATGAAAATTAATCAAATTAAGTGTACATCAAATTTTAAGAAATCATTAGTAGCGTTCATTAATATTATTCACAAAACCTATACCAATTCCCTCATGACAATGCTTCCATTTCTGATAAAAATGACAGTTGGACGTGCTACTCTTTTGGGATGACGGGAGGGGCGGAGGGGGGAGGGAGACTACTTAGATAGAGTATCCGCGTAGAGTTGCAACAAATGTGTCGCATTCATATCTGTTATGCTCTAGAAGGGTGGGAGAAGGAGCTCAAATTAGAGTAGTCTGAGAAAACTCGGAATTTTTTAGTTGCAAGAATTCGTGCATACTTACAAGACATGTAATAGAGACATCTTGAAGATATGCTGTAGTATTTGTGATACGTGTATGACAAAAATAAGGGCGCAGTATGTGTACGAATTAGACGAACTGTTGGAAGAAATGGAAATGATCAGGTAAACTATTGCAGCATACAGTTATTAATGATGCAAGTGATCATTTGAATGTAATTTCGTTGATGCAGGCAAGAAACTGTTAAAATTTATATGAGCAAATTTCAAGAAATAGTCCAGTACTTACTAGTCGTTTATGAAGGATTCCAACGCGTCATAGACGATGTAAGAGTCAGCCTTTTCGTAAAGCCTCAATCGAAGGTATCTAGTTGATTTGAGAATGTCTTTCAGTGTTTGAAACAATGGAAATCCTACCTCATGAAGTTTGATAGACTGTTACAAGAGTCATTAAAGATAGCGATAAAGAACTCTCTGGACGTTTTTTACGGGGTCTTGCACGGAGACGGAACTACGGCGCCTATGCCCGTGGTGCACTTGAAGGTAGACTTGATTGACAACAAAGTGAGTTGATTATGCTGGCTACCAAAGATTTCGAAGGATACGCAATAAGAGAGAATTTTCGTAAAAAATTGTTGCAGATAAATTTTTGCCCGGCACTGGCAGAGGTGGCCCGCATGGTTTCCGAAGCGTTGTATCGAGTAATAGATTCTCTGAAAATAGTGCCACGGATCGTGGAAAAGTTTCAGTTACACGATCTGGAGACTAAACCTTTCTGGAAGGAATACGTAGAAGATAACGACCTCGATCGATCGCAACAGATGTTGAACAACGAAGTTTCTTATTGCTTCGGCCAAGTGCAAAACTACTTGACGACGTGGGAGCCCTTTGCCGACATATGGGAGGTCAACAAAGATTTATTTATTCAGAGGTAAGTTTGCGGTTTTAAAACTGGATATCAAACTTTTTTCATTCGTGCACGAAATAAAAACTTTGCACAGATTCGCGTTTTGGAAGCCAGTCGCAGCATATTCTCGATTCTTGACGGCAGCGATAGATTTTTTGCTGTTTGTTCTGAGCGAGACTGCGAAAAAAAAATAAATAAATAAAAAAACGGGGGGGGGAAGTCGTTGTTCGGATAGAAAATGTTGCGCGGTAATTTGATTTTTTTTGAAAAGGGCAACACTTTTTCCAATGCATATTTGGTTGCGTGGAGCACGACAGCGCATTTAACAGGTAAAAGCTTTTTCATCACGGCACACGTGCATTTATTGCCAGATACGAAAAGTCGAAGCCGACAGTTGCCTTGTTCGATGCCGACATCGGCAGGTACGCGGAAGTAGCGAATAATGTGGAAATGCAGGAGACCGTGGTGACAGTCCATTTTTTGGAGATAAACGCCGAGCGATTGAAAGCTGCAATCAGCGAGCAATGTAGTCTGTGGCAGCTGAAATTGACCGAATTGCTGCTGCGATTGACCGAGTCGCAGGTTCATCACCTCCACAAATACGTCGCCGACAATAGCAAAAGGTATATTGACTAGTCAATCATTCATCGTTAAGCCTGCAATAAGGTAAGCGACTCGCGAGCGAACCGGCATCGATTCGACGCGCGCCAATGATTAATTTGCTCTCGCCAATGGGAGATTACGGGCGCGGAAGTAACCAACAAGGAAAAATCAGATTTTCCCCTCGAAAGGTCGCTCGCTTAATTCCATCGCTTGGTATTTTCCTCGCGATCGCAAGTTTTTTGTCCTGCTGCAAATGTCAACAGTGGTGAAGAGAAGTAATCGAGTAAAATCGAACGATATAGACGGAAAGGAAGCATAGGCGACCAGACGAAACAGTGGCGAGAAAAAGAATGAAAAAGCCACTTAGCGTCGATCGATTCGCTGCCAAAATAACGAGCCAGCTCGCTTGATTTTCAGAATAACGAAGGAGCCGACGGATCTCATCAGCATGCAAGCTGCGTTACAGTTGTTCGAGAGACTCACCGCTGACATCCCACGCCAGGAGAAGGAGTTCCCCAAGATAGGCCAGCAGTACGAGACTCTAGGTAAACGTTAAACGTTCTGCCGAAAAGTCAATAACTCAAAGCCGCGGCTGCTGCTGCTGCTGCTGCTGCTGCGCTGCAAGCGCGGCTCCGGGGGCTGCTCTGCTCTGCTCTGCACTGCTCTAGTGCAGCTGCTGCTGTTCAACAGACTTCGCCTCGTGTTGCTGCCTACGATTTTTCACTTTCTATTTTTCTACAGCCAGCCCTCTCCTTCTTTATTCGCGTCGTCAGCTTGCTCGCAAACGGGAAAGCGCGCCCTGCCTCGCATACATCTGCTCGCAACAGCGGTTCCGTGCAATTAGCTGGTCGAATCCGCTGCCGGATTCGCTGACTATGCGCGCACTGGCTCTGCTACGAGCGCACCACGTCCTCTCGTTTCATTATTTTTCAGCTTCTTTCTCCGTTCTTTCTTTCTTTTTCCAACCGGATCACCAAAGCACCTCGGCCGAAATCAACGTTGACTTTAGCCTCCGTCAATCCACTCTTGGCCTTGTCATTCGATAATGCACTTGCCTTTTTAGAAAAATACCAAGTCCCCATGACGTTGGAGTTGAAACGGAATATAAGGGGCATCGATGAATGCTGGGCTTCCTACCTCAAGTTATTGGCCTCCTGCAAGCTGACTTTGATGGACAAGAAGGTTGTTCTAATCGACTACTCGAGACTTTCGCGCTACTGAGTTTCGGTTTTGCATTACAGCAAGCGTTTAAAAAGAGACTGATCGAAGAAGACGAGCTGCTCAAGGGCAACATAATCGGCATGCTTTCGCAATTTCAGACAAATGCCCCGTTTAGCGCTGAATGGAGCACGAAAAGTACGTTAAAGTGTAAGCTGATCGCTCGATGTGCTCTATTTTGAATTGTCGCGACAGGTGCGAGAAATTGGTTGCGCAGTTTTCGCAAGAAAGTGAACACAGCGAAAACCAAATTACACAAACTAAAGAAGGATCTGGCTGTGTTCAGCATCAGCCAGTTGGATTCGGACGAGCTCGCGGTTTTACTAAAGGTACAACAATCGATCTAGCGAAAAAACAATAATAAAGAGTTGATCGAACGACAACGCGAAGGACCTGGGTGCGATCGAACTTGTCTGGGAGCTGGCGGAGGAATGGGATAGAGCCTGGGAGCGCTACAAAGCGGGCAATTTCTGGTCGATTGAAATGGAAGAAATGGAGGAAAGGGCCAATGTGCTGTTCCGCAAACTAACGCGATTGAGCCGAGAGCTGAAGGAAAAGCCGTGGAGCATAGTTGACGCAACGAGGTTGTCAATGAGAGATGAAAAACAGCCAGGTGTAGGGAAGTGCAGCGGGAAAGCGAATAATGAGTCGTGAATTGTGAATTCGGTTAGGTCACGCGTCGACAAATTCCGGCGAACTTTGCCGCTCATCACGGATTTGAAGAACCCCTGCATGAGGGATCGACATTGGAGGAAAGTTATGCAGACGATCGGAAGAGAGTTCGATCGCAACTCCGATGAATTCACTTTGAGCGCCATAGCAGAAATGCAAATGCACAGTTTTGCCGATGAGATCGCCGATATATCCAAGTCCGCCACGATGGAGCTGGCTATCGAGACGGTGCTGCTTGATGTTTTACGTTTTGGCCACTTGACTGGCCGATAGCGAGTCGCGAGCCAATAATAATAGGCCGGCGGCACTGCAACGCTGCAGGGCTTGAAGAATATCGCGCAGGTTTGGAAGGAGACGAGGCTGGTGATGGTGTCTTACAAGGACAACGGGGTGTTCAGGCTGACCACGGTGGACGAGATTACGCAGGCGTTGGAGGAGCATCAAGTGCAGCTGTCGGCTATGAAATCCACCAAGTACGTAGGGGCTTGTTTGGCGCAGCGCTATGTAAATTTGACTGTGAAATGCTGGCGAAACGCTGGCGAAACGCTGGCGAAATGCTGGCGAAATGCTGGCGAAATGCTGGCGAAGCCGAATCTCGCGGCGTCGTTCGATACTCGGAGCGCTGCAATTTAAGTAGCGGGCAATCGCGATGAAAGTAGCTGCTGAGAGAGTGCGAAATCCGACCCCGTAACAGGTTCGTCGAGGCTTTCGCCGTGGAAGTTGATTATTGGGAGCGAGCCTTGTCGAGCGTCGGCGAAATTCTAGAAATGGTATTGAGTGTCCAGAAGGGCTACGTCTACTTGGACAACATCTTCGGTGCGGAAGACATTAGGCGGCAACTTCCGCGAGAGAGCAGAGAATTCGACGAGCTAACCGACTCCTGGAGGGAAATTACCAGCCGCATGGCCTCGGCCGTCCTCGCTCTCGACGCGACCCTCAAACCACGTGCGTCAGCCCTCCTTGCCTCTCTTCCCTCCGTCTCTTCCGCAGTCTCTCTGCCGAGATTCATTTCGGCCCCACGCCGCGTCGCAAAATAATGTCATCATCTCGCATTTCATGCTCGTAAAGCCGGCTTATTCAATACTTTGAACAAGCTGAACAATAAGCTGGAAGCCATTCAAAGGGAGCTGGAGCAATACCTCGAGACAAAGAGGCACGTTTTCCCAAGATTTTACTTTATTTCAAACGACGATCTCCTCGAGATTCTCGCTAATTCAAAGAAGCCCGAGCTCGTTCAGCCCCATATAAAGAAGCTCTTCGAGAACATCAAGCACATCAAGCTCGGCAGGGTAATAATAATATCGAGCTTCTCTCTCTCAAATATGATTTCATTAGCCACAGCTTTGATGGCGCTCAGCGCTCGCGCTCTGCAATACTTGCTTAATGATGCATTTAAATACACGCTTGGTCGAGTTATTAAATACATAAGCGTTGATTAGCACGAGCTCGAGCAATATTTTCCATTTGAAGTCCGTCCGAATACGTTGGCATTTTAATTAAATTCCTGAATTTTTTCTGGCCTCCCGGATAATTTGCTGATTGCTACAGCTGCTCTCGGCCAATAAATCATAAATATTACTCGCGATACGTACCGCAGGTGTCGCTTCATTTGGCCCGTCAAGCCACGTTATCAGCTTGAAATTAAAGCCTGATGCACGTTTCAACGATTTCGTTAATAATTCTTGTCTCGCTCGTGACATCGCGGTGCAGTCGGCGTCGGGCAAGCCGGTCGCCGAAGGAATGTTCTCCGCCGAGGGAGAGTACGTGGACTTTCTCCAGGCCGTCGTTCTGGAGGGCCCGGTTGAAGCCTGGCTATGCTACATCGGTAAGTCCAGTTCCACCGATGACCGAGCCTAACGGAAAGTAGCCTTTTCCAAATGAGCGCAGAGTCAGCGATGCGCGAGTGTCTGCGGGAGGTTTTACGACGGTGTCGAGCAGCTCTGCGAAAAATGTCGGCGAAGCGGGACAAGTGGGTGAAGGAGTGGCAGAGTCAGCCTGGAATAACGTCCACTCAGATACAATGGACCAGCGACTGCACTCGGATTTTAGTGCAATGCAAGTGAGTGCGCATCGATCGCAAAGCGTCGTATTGGGCAAACGTAGAAGGGAAACGGCCCAGGCTGGGAGAAGCTCGGAAGGCTGCGTGATGGTGGAGAGTTAGGCATGCCAGTGGGTAGACGTCGGTGGGCAGACGCCAGTGGGCAGAGGGCCAACAGGGAAAGAATAAAAGAATGAAAGAATAAAGAATAAAAGAGTGTAATGAGCACTTTAAGCGCTTAGAATTTTACGTACAAGTTTAACGACGGCGCGCAGCTTTAAAGAAAGAAACTGGCTGCAATTTGACTTGAAGATGGTCGACGCTCAACGGCATGACGGACGGCCGGAACGAGCACGGCTTAATTATTTGCAAGGGTCGAGGCGCAATCGCCGCTCGACAGCTGGAAATAGGGAAACAACCGAGAGGAAAAATGCGAGTGGGGCAGCTGCGGTGCGCGCCGGGCCGCGCCGGGCCGCGCCGAGCTACGCCGAGCTACGCCGAGCTACGCCGGGCCGCGCGCGTTACTCTCCCGATAGACGCAGCCGAGAGCAATCACTAAAGAGGGTGTAAGCGGCTCGTAAAGCAATGTTTACGAAGTAGGCGAGCGACGGGCCAGGGGCGAAAGCCGCGCCAGTAGATCCGTCGTCAGCGGGAAATATGATTGCGTCCCCGGCGGCTGGCGACGGAGACGGAGACGCTGGCGGGCTCGTTGTCGCCCGAGTGTTTATGCATACGTAAATTTAAGTGTCGCCGGGGCCGACAGGGGCAGAGAGCAGCCGCTGCTAAGGCTGCGGACGGGCAGGGCGCTGCTCGACGCGGCCCGACTCGGCACAGTTTAGCGCGGGATAAAGCGAGCGGGGCGTCGCGAGGAGATCGCCGCAGCCGTGCGCGCCGCTAACTCTAATAAGAGCAGTTTTGCATATTCCCTGCGCCGTTTCCAAGGGCTCCTCCTCGTGGCCGCGCTTCGTTTACATATACTAGCCGCGCTGTGAATAATTGAGCTGCGGACGAGCTCTCCTCGTCAAGGCCCCGGGCATCCTCCTCCCTCGACAATGCCACCCAGGCAACCCGGCTTTGGCCGGCAGCGAGCTTTTTCAAAAAGTTGCCCCCTGCTGCCTCTCTACTTGCAGGCTCGCGCAATCAAAGAAGCCGTTGAAGAAGCTCAAGCACCGTCAGAACCAGGCGCTCGCCAAGTACTCCGAAGCCGTACGCGCCAACCTGGACAAGCTTCAGAGACTCAAGTTCAAAGCCATCGTGGTCATCGAGATCCATGCGAGAGATGTGATCGACACCATGTACCGAGCCAGTGAGCCGACTGCCGTCTTCCGACCACTTGCGTGGCACCTCCCTGCTCCGCCTCCTCTTCGCTCGCGGGATATTTTCGGCTCGCCGCCGGCCTGTCTTATCGCGCTCCCGGGCTCGCCACTCTCGCGTAACTCATCGCCTCCCCTAGGCCTTAATCGGTCTTTTCCGCGGAGGGGCCGTTTTCGGCGCGCTCCATCACCCGAGCTTTGCACCTGTTTTATGCCTTTGACGCCTTTTGCGCCTTTTGCGCCTTTTGCGCGTTTTACGCGTTTTACGCGTTTTACGCGCTGATCGAGTGTCGTCCTCGCGCGCTGCCAGTCTGGCGCAGTTGTAATTAGGAAATAAATGCAGCCGCGTTTCGCTTGGCCCGCAAAAAGCCGAAAATATTCGCGCGATACTGCCTGCTATTACTTTTTAGCGCTGCCGCGTCGCGTCAAGTCAATTAGCCGGCGGCATCAGCATTAGCCCAGCGAGCCTGCAGCGTTTGAGGCTGCAGTGACGGTGCGCGCCGGGAAGCAACGAGGCCAATTAAAGAATCGCTGTTGAAAGATTGCAGGGACGTGTCAGCCTTCGAATGGCTTTCTCAATTGCGTTTCTACTGGGACAAAGATATCGACGACTGCATTGCTCGCCAGACAAACACGTCGTTTATTTACGGCTACGAATACCTCGGCAATTCCGAAAGGCTGGTCATCACTCCGCTGACTGACAGGTAAGAGCGCATCGCCTGGCGCGATTCGAGTGCTGTTTACGTATTCTGTCTCGCTCGAGCGGCAGCGCGCTGGCAAGTCGAAAGTAAACCGGCCAGATAGGGAAGTTTTTAATAAAATATGGAAATGGGCGCGTGCGTGCGGCTGGCTGCACTGAAATATCGTGTTTTCGCCGGCTCAAACTTGCCAAAGTAGAGCTGCCAGCTGCAATCGCGGACCAGTGAGTCTTGCAACGCAACCGAGGCGACTCGCACGCGCTCTGCCCATTGTTCAATGGGTCTTTTGCTACAACTGCAGTTATTTCTCGTGGCGCGTCGTCGTCGTCGTCGCCGCGGTCGTCGTTTATTCCTGCCCGGAGCCGAGAGTTGCCGTCGCCGGCGGCGGCGGCGACGGCGGCGGCGGCGGTGGCGCGCGCGCGCAATTTATCCGAGCTTAAGGAGTATCGATTTAATCGCGATAAAAGGAACGAAGTGGATGCTCTAATTTATCGCGAGCCGACCTTGATGTATATTCGCCGGCGAGCGCACTCGTAAATTCGCTCGACTCAAGAGCGCGCGAAGCAGCGTCCCTCGCTCGCGCGCTCCTCTTTTTGCACTCTTCACTTTTCAAATCTGCGCGCTCCATCGATTTGCCGCCCTGGCCTCAACTTTTTTCAATAAACATTCGCCGCCGGGCGATCTTGCTCTGTTTGCCTTTCCCATTTCCACTGCGCCCGGTTCCGCTCTCTCGCTCAGCCGGCGCTTCATCCTTTATTGGCTTGCACCAACGGAGCCTTGAGATTTCAATGGAATTAGTAGACTCGCGGGCAGCGGCGCCGGCAAATTGCTCCGCCGGCAGAGACTAATGGCTAATAAGACTGTGTGCTCGTAAAACAGATGTTACATAACACTGACGACAGCGCTGCACTTGCATCGAGGCGGCAGCCCGAAGGGTCCTGCGGGCACGGGTAAAACCGAGACCACCAAAGACCTCGGGAAAGCCCTCGGATTTAACGTCATTGTGGTGAATTGCTCGGAAGGCCTCGACTACAAGAGCATGGGCCGGATGTTTGCCGGGCTCGCGCAGACCGGTGCCTGGGGCTGCTTTGACGAATTCAATAGGTATATCTTTACTCTCCTCGCCTCGTCTCGCCTCGCCTCGCCGCACCTCCAACCCTCGGCTGCTTTTCTCCCGTGCTTCCACTTGCGGCCCCTCCGCTGAGCATACTTTTATACGCTCGTTCCCTCGACGTTATTGTCCTAGCACTCTAGCATTCTATTTATTGCACCTTCCAATTTTACCTCACTTCGCCTAGCTGTTCACTTGCACAGACACGACTATTTCAGCTGCTGTGCACCGCTACAAACGCACAACTCCGCGTCTTTGCCTTGGCAAACGTCACGCCAGTAACACATTTGCCCTTCGCTCATAGAACCCTACCAATCCGCATTTGACAAATCAACTTGGAAATCATTTTGCTATGTCCTGCTCTTTCCCCTACACGTGTCTTCTGCGTGCGTCCCGCAGGCGACTTACTAATGATTTATGTGGCTTTGCTCTCGTAATTCCCTACAACTTTTGCCTTCCTACTAATTCCGGACATCAATGATTACTTAATTTTCAAAATTGCCACTCGGCCCAATTGCTATCCAGTACTTATTTTTTCCCCAATGCTCAAACTTATTTAGGAGAAAAGATATCTAACATACACATTACCTAAATAAAATAGCACGTCTTATCCTGACTAATTGAACAACATAATTTTAGTAATATAAATCCATGATATCCCATTCGGAAAACAAACGCACGGCTTTATACGCCTAATTATCTTCCCATATGCAAAGAATAATTGATTACCCGACAAAAACGTCTACTGTCGAATCTGAATGTATACATCTCTTGAAAACTAATTAACAGATTACTAATCAACACACTTAAGGTACTTTCGTACACGTTCATTAACTGATAACAACATTTATTTCAACGATAACAATTATCACACTTCGCGATCGATACCTTTGTAACATGATTATGAACTTTGTAACTTGCAACATCTTGCAAATAGTAGTCTTTGCAGGATTCTTCATCACCTTTGCGCCTGAGTCTTCTAGAACACACCGAGTCATCGTTAATTATTGCAATAAGAAAATACAACGTCATATACTTATAATTATTACTAGTTTACGTACAATTTTACATGTGGTTTCCTTTTTTCATTCTATAACAAAAAGATATGCACGTGTACGACGCATGAATTTAATTTTGAATTTAACACAATAAAATAATTAAATTATCAAAAGATATGATAAGTCTTTCTAGAAGAGTACTATTTCGATTCTCAAGATATGGTACATTTTTTAGAAACACGTTGATCTTCTAATTTTGTATAGCTGCTTGTAAAATGTGAATTTTCAAATACTAGTATTCTTTTAGCTTCAGAAAGTACGCTTTTGATGAATTTTTGATGAAATTGACAGATGTTTTAATAATTTAAGATTATTAAAATTATATCTATTTTCATGTAACTAAAATATATATTTCAAGTGTAAAAAGGTACATTAGCTAAAATTAATCCAAGGAATGACTATGATGGTAAGCTAGGTGATTGTAACAAAAGTGAGAGGTTAATTGGTCCGTTTGGGTGTTATTTAAAAAGTTGATAAACATTCCGGCGTTTCCAATGTATCCATTTTTAGCTTCAGGAAATTCTTTCTCACAAAAATATTTGTTCAAGCGACGTGAGTTGTAGAGGTCAGTATCGGCTCATAGTTTTGCACCAACAATAAGACTGACGAACGCAGTAAAGCTGATAACGTTCCAATCTTGTTAGACGACATCAGCTAATGAATTTTGATTTGGTCCGTAATCATGCACTGATAATCATTCCCATGCAAGGAGCTTTAACGTAAATAATTAATTAAAATACCTTACTTCCATGAATACAAGCTACCGAGAGTACATACATACGTATAACACTAACTGCAGCTCCCATTTGCATGTATCTCTGAAAGAGCTGCAAGCGCGTCAAACAAGTTCGAACAAACGTAATGTCTATCTGGTAATCTCTTTACGACTTGAGTTTCTGAACAAGTGATGAGCATTCATTAATATAGAAAGCAAAGTTGAAAGAAAATTGTTTGATTGATTTCGTAATTCTCAAAGAGTTTGTCGAAAGCAAAATATCAAGTTGAATTGATACGACGTAACTTAGCCCTGCTTACGATTAACATCAGAGAGCAGCTAAAAAATGCGTATAAAAGAACGATACCTTATTCGAAAGAAGAATTTGTTCGATTTCATATCTAAAGCTTTGTTATGATTCACCCAACAGGATTAACATTGAAGTTTTGTCGGTCGTCGCACAGCAAATACTTTCAATACTGACTGCGCTATCGCAAAAGGCAACAAGATTCATATTCGAGGGAGCAGATATTTCCATTGTTCATACTTGCGGAATTTTCATTACTATGAACCCAGGCTACGCCGGTCGTACTGAATTACCTGATAACTTAAAATCAATGTTTCGACCTATCTCGATGATGGTGCCGGATAGCAGTATGATAGCTGAAATCAATTTATTTGGAGAAGGCTTTCAAAATGCACGCTCTCTGGCAAAAAAGGTAAATGCTAACAGCCACGTATTTATTGTGATTCAGTGCAGTTGGAAAGTAATTGGAGCCTCGCGTGAACGTTGGCGTTCGAGCCAAGCGAAGGGTCAAATCACTTGCTCGCATATCTATCCAGCTTGATCGTTCGATACCGCGTGCGCAAGACGAGATTGGACGCAAGCTCGCTTTGCCGAGCCTGCGAAGAGCGAGTCCTCGCGCACGCGCACAATCTCACTCACTTATTAAAAATCTTCATTTTTTGGCCCGAGTTTTATCCATTGCCTTCTGCATGAGTTCCGCTGTCATAAGAATAATGGACAACCCAATCACGATATAAGAATTGCCTGAGATATACGGCGTTGGCCTAATTTTAAACTTGCTCTAATGTTTGACTAATCAATGTTTTAGGTAGATACGCTCTATTCGCTTGCTAAACAACAGCTAAGTAAGCAGTTTCACTATGACTTTGGATTGCGCGGAATCGTAACTTTGACTCGTTACGCGGGCAAGAAACGACGACTCTACCCCAATTTACCCGATGAAGAAGTAATTTCAAAACGTTTCAATTTTCATAAATTACTATCGGCTGTCGCGTACTTTAGTGCTGCTAATAACAAAAGCTTCTTTTATTATCTGAAAAGATTCATCGACTGTTTTCTGTGAACTTTTGGGCTTCTAATTGTTAATTAATTATCAAGGTTGAAAAATGTCCAACAACAGCTCGTATGCGAGCAATTTAGTAATAAGCTACTTGATATACTTCCTTGCCTTGAATGTCAATGCAAAATTAAAAAATTAGTAAAGAATGTTAATATCGAAACGAAACGGTTGAACAAAACGAATGTAATTTTAATGCCTCGAACTCTGTTGAAGAAATTAGGCAGTGAAGAAATTAAACAGAGCGCTGTCTTTCAAATGACAGGTTGTTATACTAGCGATGAACGACATGAATATTGCGAAACTGACTACCGACGATCTCCCACTTTTCATCGGCATTACGTCCGATCTCTTTCCTGGAATTCAAGTGCCATCAGTCGACTATGAAGAATTCACGAGATACGTCACTAACGAAGCTATCAAACTGAATTTACAGGTAAGTCCTAGTGGCATTGGATTGGTGGTAAGAGGCGAATGGAAAGCGATTCATTTTGGAAACGGAATGCTCGTGTGCAAGTGCTTTTGGCTATATAGCTACGCAGCGATTGTATTGGAATGCAATTCAGCAGCAAATCTGTCGCGACGGGGCGTGAAGCTTAGATAATAGGTGAACAAATGTATAAATAAACGATGGCAATGAAGCGTTTGTTGTTTTGCACTGGCGCAGCCCATCCCGGGATTCATCCGGAAGGTGATCGAACTTTACGAGACGAAGAACTCGCGGCACTCGGTAATGATCGTCGGGCAGTCGAACACGGGCAAAACGGCCACGTGGCGCACGCTACAGAACACGTTGACGACGATGAAGAGAGACGGAAAATCGGGCTTTAACATCGTGCATGAATTCCCCATCAATCCCAAGGCCCTGAATCTCGGCGAATTATATGGAGAATATAATTTATCGACAGGAGAATGGTCGGACGGGGTCATTTCGTCGATAATGCGAAAAACTTGCGCCGGTGAGGATCCCTCGCAAATTTTCCAAGCCATGCCGCCACAATTTTATTGCGCCTGTCGTAAAGCCATTTGACGATTATTATTCGCATACATTTCCTGCCGCTGGCGCCTGCTCGACTTTTTTCAGCGCTCGCCGGCTGCCTTACTCGCCAATCGTTCTCATATCAAAAGTACCCATCTCGTCGTCAGCGGCTTCTTAAAATCGCGCTTTTCAGATGAGACGCCGACTGAAAAATGGATTGTATTTGATGGGCCGGTCGACGCCGTTTGGATTGAGAATATGAACAGCGTTATGGACGACAACAAAGTAAGTGGACCAGCGCAGAGGGGCAGCACTGGGCCTCGCTCCAATGTCGGCGTCTTTCTAGATTTTAACGCTGATAAACAACGACCGGATAACGCTGCCGGAACAAGTGTCTCTCCTGTTCGAAGTGGAGGACCTAGCGGTTGCCTCGCCGGCGACGGTTTCTCGCGCCGGCATGGTCTACACCGACTACAAGGACATCGGCTGGAGGCCATATGTCAATTGCTGGCTGCAAAAGCACCAGAAACGCCCGGAATTCGTGCAAGAGGTGATTATTTCGCGTTGGCGCGAACTAATATGATGATGATTAACTGAATACAAAACTGGTCAACTTTGCAGATGAACAGGTGCTTCAACAGCTACGTGGACCAGCTGCTGGAATTCAAAAGGACCAATTGCAGCGAGCCCGTGACCGTGCCGGAGCCTAATGCCGTGCAATCGCTTTGCAAACTCTTGGAAATTTTAGCGACGCCGCAAAATGGAGTGGAATTATTGGACGGCCGAGACGCGTTCAACAGCATGTGCCAATTGTGGTTTTTGTTTTGGTGAGTGCTCGTTGCGTTCCATTAGAACTCGCGCGAAAAGTGACGAACATCGTGCACGGATGAATTTTCGAGGCGGGCTAACGCTATAACTATCGGCTGACGTCGTGCCGTCGTGCCGTCGTGCCGTCGTGCCGTCGTGCCGTCGTGCAGTCGTGCCGTCGCGCCGAGACCATTCGAGTGCGACGAAAAAGGCCGGATACGTGCGGTGATTCGGGGGAGGGAGGCCGGCCAACCGGCTGGGCGTGTAATGATGATTCCATGAAATATCTCTGAACGTGGTGCTGCTGCTGCTGCTGCTGGCGTAAATCAAACCCGCGCCGCTTGGAAATTGACTCGGAACAACGGCTGGCGTTGGCTGACGCGCGCGCGCAGCATGATCTGGTCATTGTGCGCCTCGGTCGACGAGGACGGCCGGCAAAAAATGGACAATTTCGTAAGGCAGATGGAGGGCTCGGGCTTCCCCCTCCGAGACACGATCTACGAGTACTACGTGGACGCCCGACAGCGCTGCTTCGCCTCCTGGGAAGAAAAATTGTCACCGACCTGGAAGTTCCCTGTCGGGTAACTCGCTCTTCCTCGCCTCTCTAATCCACGCGCGCGCACTTCAGTCCGCTTATCAGCTCGCTGCACTGTTCCCAATTGCCCCGTGCCCCCCTTCTTCTCACTCAGCTCGCTTCCCAATCAATTGCAGAACGGACTTTTACAAAATCACCGTGCCAACCGTCGACACTGTCAGATACGAGTACCTCGTCAATGTACTCTTAACTCATGGATTCCCGGTGCTGCTTGTCGGCCCCGTGGGTACGGGCAAAACCTCCACGGCCCAATCAGTCCTCAACTCGCTGGACCCTCATCAATATAGCTCCTTCATTTTGAACATGTCGGGCCAGACGTCCTCCAAAAATGTCCAGGTATTTGAAGGCTGCGAAGCAGACGTTTTACGCGGCAAGTCTGACCTGTGCCCGATCGTCCCGATCACAGGAGGCCATCGAGAGTAGAGTCGAAAAGCGCACCAAAGGAGTGTACGTGCCAATTGGTGGTAAAATCATGATAACCTACATGGACGACTTCAATATGCCTGCCAAAGACACTTACGGCTCTCAGCCACCCCTCGAACTTATTCGACAGTGGATGGGCTATGGGTTCTGGTAATCGATTCATTCTCTCCCCACGTCGATTACCCTACCCGGACACTTTATCGAGCATACATTAGGTACGACCGCCAGAATCAAGCTCTCAAATATATTCAAAAAATGCAATTGATGACGTCGATGGGTCCACCGGGAGGAGGTAGAAACACACTATCCAATAGACTGCTAGCCAAGTTCAATGTCATAAATATGACCTTCCCCGCCGAGAAGCAAATCGTGCGAATCTTCGGCACTATGCTCAATCAACAGTTGTTAGACTTTCACGAAGAAGTGAAGAGCCACGGTAACCAACCAACCTCATCCGTTCGCTCACACTTTTTTCATCACTAACTGCATTGTCGCATGAAACCTTATTTTTTCTCCACATTTTCAATTACAGCTGATGATTTAACGAGAGCAACGATCACCATGTACAACAATGTCGTTCTCAATATGCTTCCCACGCCCATGAAAATGCACTACTTGTTCAATCTGCGGGACATTTCGAAGGTTAGATCATTTGCACCGATGTACAAAGACCAAGTCTTAGACACGCTGCACGTATAAGTATTATTTCGTACGGTTTTCACTTGACGAACGCAACTCTCTCGTCGGAATTAATTAATCATCCTCTATTTTTTTGTTTTTTCCATTTATCCTTACCGCTCGAAACTCAACTTTTCAATTTCCCATTATTTTCAATGAAGGAATTCTGTCGATAAAATTAAATCGAAGGATGATGAAGCGTATTTGACGATACATTCGTGATTATTATTTGTCTGCAAACAAACTCTCATAGCGTAGACAACAGCACGTGAACTGGTGCTCTATTGTTATAAATCCACTAAGCAAAGCTGTTACCCAAGCACTGCGCGTGCCAACTCATGTTCGCAGGTCTTCCAAGGCTTGCTGCGCAGCCACAAAGACTATCAATACTCAAAGCAAACCTTCCTGCGTCTCTGGGTTCACGAGACTTTCCGTGTATTTAGCGATCGCCTCGTCGACGAGCGGTAAGTTGCTGTTCTTTTTCTTCCCCAGAGTTTCTTATTTGGTGCGTTTAAAACTCCCCGCACGATTCAATAGCTAACTAAAGTATTTGTACTAAAGAAAGAATATTCCCGCCAATGGTTTGCCTAAACGAAACATAGTTGCATAGCCGAGCTCTCACCGCTGTTGGTATTTACTTCGAAAGCAAAATATTAGAGCAAGTGATAATATTTTACAAACAAATGATACACCAACTTTGATTTTCTGATGAATTATTTATGATAGATAGAGACTAAATAAAAAATTAATTGCTGACACAAAGAATGCAGGGCACAAAGAGTCGATATTGATGACAGAGGATACCAGGCATTTTTAAATAAATGTTACGTGATGCATTATTCAGTGTAGTCTATGAAAGCTTATTTCATATTTTTTATATTTTTGAATTGTGATACATATTTATTTAGAATGATATTTATAAATAACGCATGTAACAAAACAGCGTATTACAGAAAGGATTTCTCATTTGTTGTTTGACACATTCAATGCACAATTTATTATTTAGCTATACACATAATTTCTATTATTTGCTTCACTTTATTTATTATTTCGCATTTTTCTTCATAAATACGTTATCAGTAAAGCACTATACACAAATTTATCAAGGTTGGAAAATATTTTGTTTTCGACGTAATAAAAATCATGAAAGACAGCTGAAAATCAAAGATAATTTTTTTTATGAAATCGCTCCATAGAACGCAATCGTAATCCTCTAGGCCATAGAATATATGAAAATCAATTTTTTTTAAGTAGCAACTATATTTGGTTCAGTGGATGACGCGACAAATGTTCCCCGTTTACTGTATATACACATTTTAGTTTGGTTGGATGTAGAATTATATAGGGGGCCTTCATAACGATTACGAAGGAAAACAAAATGGAAAAACTTCTGAAAATGATTCTGCAGTAAATCCTAAAATTAATCATTTGAAAGGGACAACGAGTGGTTCCTGTCTGCGGTGAATGAACAACTGGCTCAACATTTCGATACGACGTTCAGCGGTCTCTGTCCCGAAAAAAGATGTCCAATATTCGGTAAGCGAGTTGAGGAAAAGGGAAAGAAACGCAAGAAAAAAGCGAATGCGAATGGGCTGAACTCAGAGTAAAGGGCAGGAGAGCGAATTTGGTAATTAGCGCGAGATCGGGTAGAAACGCTAAGCTCTAGGCTGTAGATTGCACGAGTGTACGCGACAAGACGCAAGAGAGAGGCAGCTGTGCCACTATAGCCCTCGAGTATTGCGCCCTTGTCGGGATGCTCGTGCTTCTAGTCGAGTGTCGAATTCCTCGGCCAGGTCGACGGTCGTTAGCGACACAACCAGCAGCGGAACCGCTGCAAGCAGAGCGGGGGGGGGGGGGCGCAATGAAAATGCTGCAAAATATGCGACACAGCCGCGATAAGAGGACGATAATGCGCGCAGGCAGCTTCACCAACGCCTGGAACATTTACGAGGAGCTGCGGGACGTGGCAGCGGTGCGCAGCTACGCCGAGAACCAGATGGACGAGCATAACTCGACGCCCGGGCTGGTGCGCCTCGACCTCATACTGTTCCGAGACGCCCTCGAGCACATATGCCGCGTCGTGCGTGTAATATCGCAGGTATCCACTTGGACACTGCGCAATCCAGTTTTGCGCGGCGCCGAAAAGTGTTTGGTTCGCACGAATTCTAGCCACGTGGGAACATGCTGCTGGTGGGTATCGGCGGCAGCGGCAGGCAATCGCTCTCGCGACTGGCCGCCTACATGTGCGAGCTGACGAGCTTCCAAGTGGAGGTCTCCAAGCACTACCACGTGGCGGAATTCCGTGAAGACCTGAAAAGCCTGTACTACTTGGCGGGCGTCGACAACAAAGCCTCGAGCTTCCTCTTCAACGACACTCAGATTGTCGAGGAGCAGTTCCTCGAGATCGTCAACAACATGTTGAGCACCGCCGAGGTCGCCGGTCTGTTCAAGCCCGACGAGCTCGAAGACGTAAGTTCGCTCATTTACCAACGCATCGATCCTTGCAAGTACTCCGCTCCGACATTCATAAACTGACTCGCCGTCCGAATCTTCGAACTCGTAGCAGCCGCACCGCCTGATAAATCTTTTATTCTTGTTCAATTGATTTGAAAAGTAAGTTTTAAAAGTTGGAGAGCCCAGGAAGCCAAACTTGCCGCATATACATCTGCGCTCCGCTCTGCTCTGCTCTCTGTTGCTTCGTGTTTTGAGTGTTATCAATCTTTAAAACTGCGCTCTTGCGAGTAACCGAAGGAAAGTCGATACTTTGGGAAACTGTTGCCCGCGAAAAGTCGAGCAGCAGCAGCAGCAGCAGCAGCAGCAGCAGCAGCAGCAGCAGCAGCAGCAACAGTAGCAGTAGTGCTGGCAGTACGACTAAGCATTTGTTTAAAGTAAAGTAGTAAATTCAGTTGTGCTGAAGGGCGCTGGGTCGGGCGGACTTTGCGCGCGCAAATATTTAATTAAAGTTTTCGAATGTCCCGCTGGAGAAAGTTTTTATAGAAAAAAGGCGCGGCCAGAGCTGGATTGCCGACAGCTGCCGGCTACAATGGACTGAGAGAGACCGGAGAGAGAGAGAGAGAGAGAGCGAAGAGAGGGAGGGAAGAAGGGGGATCAGGACTGACGAAGGCGGCGGCGGCGCATATTTCAGATAAAAAACAAGCTGTCGAAGGAAGCGGCCAAGGCTCGAATAAGCCCGACGATGGAGGCGATCTATCTGTTTCTGATTGAGCGCGTGCGGGCGAACCTGCACGTGATCCTGTGCATGAGCCCGATCGGCGAAGCTTTCCGAAACAGACTGCGCCAATATCCGGCGCTGATCAACTGCACGACCATCGATTGGTTCCACGAGTGGCCGAGGGAAGCGCTCCTCGAAGTCGCTAACAAGTCCCTCATGAATCTCGATTTGACTCTTACCATTACGGGCGACCAGAGGACCGAGGTAAGAAATTGCCGGGCCGGCATCCCCGAGGATCCCCACTCCGATGAATCCCGCAGACGCAGGACGAGCTGCCGCCAGCTCTGCTCCAGGAGCACACGCGCAACGCCGTCGCCTCGAGCTTCGCCCTCGTGCACGCCAGCGTCTCGCGATTCTCTCGGCGCATGTCGGTCGAGATGAAGCGCTTCAATTACGTGACGCCCACGAATTTCCTGGAGCTGGTTGCCGGATACAAGCAGTACGTAGTCGAGATTTGACCAGCAACACGCGTCGGATTCGCGGAGTCGAGCTCGGCTATTGCATGCTCGTTGCCAAGGCTGCTGGAGGAGAAACGCGTCGAGCAGTCGGGCCAGGCGAACAAGCTGCGCAACGGCCTGTTCAAGCTCGATGACACGAAGGAAAAAGTGAAGGAGATGGCCGTGGAGCTGGTGGCGACGCAGCAACAGGTGCAGCGCTCGACGCTCGAGTGCGAGGAGTACCTCGTGAGCATCGTGAGCCAGCGGCGCGACGCCGACGACACGCAGAGGCTCGTTAGCGCCAGGTCGCTCAAGATCGCCGAAGAGTCGCTCGAGTGCAAGCGGCTCGAGGCCATCGCTCGCGCCGACCTCGCCAGCGTCGAGCCAGCCCTCGAGGAGGCCATGTCGGTGCGCGCTCGCCCTTGCCTTTATTCGCTCGCTCGCTCATCGGCTCGCCCTCGCAGGCCCTCGACGCCCTCAACAAGAAGGACCTCACGGAGATCAAGTCGTTCAGCCGACCGCCCGCCAAGGTGCAAATGGTCATGGAGGCCGTGATGATTTTCAAGTGCTCCGAGCCCAGCTGGGCCGAGTCCAAGCGCCAATTGGGAGACGTCAACTTCATCAACCAGGTAGCCATCTCGGTCCCCTCCTCGCTAGCTCGCCCTCGCCTGCGCCCTCGCCCCCATCTCTTCTCACGGGCCCACGAAGCTCAGGGATTTCGACAAGGACCACATGTCCGACAAGACGCTGCGGCTCATCGCCAAGTACACCTCCATGCCCGACTTCGACCCGGAAAAGGTGGGCATCGTGTCCAACGCTGCCAAGTCGCTGTGCATGTGGGTCATCGCGATGGAGCAGTACGGACAGCTTTTCAGGTCTGTGGCAGCGCGAGCAAGCGATCCTTAATTAAGCGACCTTTATCGGCTGCAAAAACAACGAATGCCTGGTCTTTAGAATTGTCGCTCCGAAACGGGAAAAGCTGGAGGCCGCGTTGGCATCGCTGCGCGAAAAGGAAGCTGCTTTGACGGAGGCCAGTGCGCAATTGCAAAAGTTGCGCGAGCAGTTGCAGCGGCTACAGCAAATGTACGACGCAAAGATGAAGGAAAAAGAAGACTTAATTAGTCTGGTCGGTGCTCGTTGCCTTGACGCTTGCCTTCCTTGCCCTTCCCTTTCCTTTCCTTTCCTTTCCTTTCCTTGCCTCTTCTCTTCTCTTTCCGCCACTTCCCTCTTTCACCGTTTTCTCCCTCTCGCCCTCTTCTTTTCTTATTGCATCTTTCCTTTCCACTTTCTTTTAATTTCTCCTTATTTATGCTCGAGGACAGCTGGAGAACCTACTCCCGCAAGTACTCGATCATTCAGAAATTTCGATATTTTTCCGTGCGCTCATTCTCCGCCCAATCTATTAAATGTTAATCAACTTGTTAATTATTAATCTAATTTCATTTTTAATTAAGTCTCCAAACGTTATTACCCTACAGCAAAATAATCAAGTTGTATTTTTCACAGCTCTTCAACCGCCCTCGTTTACCGCCATTTAATACCATTTAATGTCATTTAATCTATTCCTTTCCTGCTTTCGTTTGAATATTCCAATATCACTTACCCTTTTAACATTTCAACAACTTCACTTAACACAGCAAAAATAGTTCAATCAATAAATTTTCGTGCGTTTTCTTTAGCTTCGGAGAATTTTCATATACGCCCAATGTGCAAATAATATGACCGAGCTCGTGTAATACTTTGAGATTTGTCAACACTTTGAGTCGAACAAGTAGGTGCTTTAGTAACAGGTAATTCTTTATCTGGCAAATAAGTTTCTTATATAAATACTTAAAGAGAGCTAAAATCACACGTCGTATCCAAAGAAACAAAAATGATTCAAAACATTGTCATTTATTCGAGAATCAGGATATTTCAGTCGTTTTCAAAGTAATAAATACCAAAGAATACTATAGTTATCGAAAATGGATTGGAGTATCGGTGCAATAAATAATTGAATCAGTAATATGGTCCTAGATTTCAATCGCTGGGCCGAATTATCGAAAAACCAAGCGTTACGTGAGAAATGTATTTAGAGGCATACCGAAAATACGGCATGCGTCGCTATTGCAATACATTTAAATGGCAGTTGGAAAGTATCGAAGAAAGAGCATCGGTGCGAATAAACTTTGAAAAAATAAAAGGAAAATACGAGGTACGAACGCGATGATTCCTACTGAAATTCGTCGATATTCGATGTTTTCCTAATATTCCCTGCCGCGAGCGGATTCATTCCCTCGCGTTTATCGAAAAGAGAAAGAAAGAAGAGCCGAGGAGCGCTCAATAAAATGTTGTTTAGCTAAAGGTTCTTTGAAACAAAAATGATTGGGCGTTAAAAGAAATAGGCGGCTTTATCGCCAGTAAAGGCGAGCTAGCTGTGCGTAAAAGAAACGGAGCTGAAAGTTGAAAGTTGGACGGAGGGAGGAATAAAGCGAATGTAAATGTGTAAAATGGGCCGGGAGAGCGTTGAAGTAATTAGAAGATTGCGGGCGATTGCAGGAGGAGTTATTGAAGCTGAAGTTGGAACGGGCAGCAATGTTGGTTGACGGTCTATCCGGCGAGCGAGTCAGATGGGAGAGCAGCGTGGAGGAGCTCGGCGGCATGTTCGATTCGCTGCCCGGCGACTGCCTGATTGCTACCGCCTTCATCTCTTACCTGGGGCCCTTTGTTTCTAATTACAGGGACGAGCTCGTTCGCATTTGGAGCGCCGAGGTAACGTTTTACAAAGGGACCATCTATGCTGCCTAGCCAGCCAGTGCATACTGCATGCCGCACTAAATAAACTGTAGGCGCGCGCTCGATCGATCAGCAGCCCCCCCCCCCTTCTCACCTAACTAACCCCTTTCATTTTGGGCTCTCCGAGCCCGAAGCACTTTCCTTTATTTTCCTTCACATCGGCTCCATCGACTCTCTCTTTCTTCGGGCGCGAGCCGGAGAAAGACCGCCCCATTCAATCCGCGAGCGGCTCCCTCTCGTAGTCCCGATCAATATTCAAATTATTTGCAGAAATTTCATTTCTCCGACACTCAACTACTAGTTGTGCTTTTACTTGGAAACTGTCAAACTCGCAGTCGCTCACAAAGAATTTGAATTATGATGTTAGCGCGCGCGCTCCCGAAAGAAGCCAATTTCAGTTGATTTGTTGGCATCAGAAGCGACTGTTAATCATAGAGCACAGTAGCACCAGCAGGCTGCGAGTTGCCGACGACGCGGCAACAGCAATAAAAAATAGCTAAAACTTTGGCCGGCTCCCTTAATATCCAACCGACTCTACCAGTGGAGCTCCTTTTTCATTTCCATGCTAATTTTCCGTTTCACGCTTCGCCTCGTCGCTCCTCCTTTCTCCGAGTCCGTGCACTGCCGCACTTCTCTCGGCTACTCGCAGACAGTCCCCTTTCTCGATCCGAGGATCGGAGGATCCGAGGATCCGAGCTTTCGGCCAAAAAGGCTCCAACTGGCAGGATCGATATCGATGTTAGCTGTATCGCCGCTACTTTACACTAAACTTGGCGCTAGGCAAACTTCTAGCCCCCCCCCCCCCCCCCTCTCTCTGTCTACCTCGCGGGTATCTGTAAGTCTGTCGCGCTCGCTCGCAAATCGCTTTCCCGTATACCTATCTCGTCTCGACGAGACGAGAAGACAGCGCCGAAGCCCCCCTCGGCCCTCGGTCCTCGGCTCTCGGCCCTGAATGTCGCTACTGCTTTTTTTCTTGTCTTGCCTTCCCTATCCTTCCCTTCGGCCACGAAAAGCTCTCTGCAAACTCTTTTCCCTCTCGCGCTTACACAAAGGTACTCGAGAAAGAGATTCCAAGTTCGCGAAGCCTCGACGTGAAGGAATTTTTGAGCAATCCCACGACCATCCGAGAGTGGAACATTCAGGGCCTGCCCTCCGATGACTTTAGCACCGAGAATGGTATTATCATCGTCCGCGGCTCCAGGTGGCCGCTCGTCATCGATCCTCAGGGACAGGCGGCCAAGTGGATCAAGAATATGGAGGCCAAAAATGCCCTTAAAATCATCGACTTTGCCCAGCCGGACTTCACCAAAGTCCTCGAACAAGCCATTCAATTCGGTAAGCCCGTTTTGCTGCAGAACGTGGCCGAGACTCTGGAGCCGGTAATGGATTCAGTACTTCAGAAGGCTTTCATCAAGACAGGCACGATCAAATTTTCCACCTATATGCATCGTGCAATGCTGCGATTATCCACAAGTCGGCATAATCTCTTTGCGCAGGCAATCAACTGATGATCAAGTTCAACGACAAGATGATTACGTTCGACCAAAAGTTTCGGTTATTCATCACGACCAAACTGCCGAATCCACACTACGCGCCGGAAATATCGACGAAAACGACTTTGTGCAATTTCGCCATCAAGGAGCAGGGTGAGAATGAGCCACGTGCGGCAAACGAGCGTAATTAAATGAGTGAGAAGCGAGAGAAAGTCTGCTCTGTTGAGCTAAGATGATCAGAGCTTGCTTTCGTTTTGTCGGAGCGTCGCGAGCAGTAGGATGTACTTTCTCACTACTTTACTCGCCACAAGCGACACGACTTTATTCGCAGGTCTGGAGGCTCAACTGCTTGGCATCGTCGTCAGGAAAGAAAAGCCTGAGCTCGAAGAACAAAAGGACAATCTGGTCCTGGCCATTGCCACCGGGAAACGTACCTTGAAAGAACTCGAGGATAAAATCCTTTAGTACGTTTATTTTCTCTCTCTCTCTCCCTCTCTCTCTTCTCCCCCCCCCCCCCCCCCCCCCCCCCTCGTCGCTTTTCTTTTCTTTGCCGTTCCGACAATTTCAGGCATCTCCATTTCTTTTGTCATACTTACATTTTTTTTCTCTCACCGCACTATAGCTTTTATTGTTAGCGCCGTCCGCTGAAAAAGATGATCTTTATTTACATTTAGTCTGCTTTGATTTCTTTTTTCTGCTCTTCTCTTTCCGCCTCTGCCGGCGGCTTTCACTCGGTATTTTTGCTTCAGCTCGCGCTCGCAGCTTTGTTAAAGGCGCCGCAGACGTCTGTCGGTTTTTGCGCACGAATTTCGGACGTAGGTCGAGTGGAAGGCGCTGCATTTGACAAGAAAACGTCTGTTTGCAGCCTGCTGAGTGTATCGTCCGGATCCCTGCTCGACGACTTGGACCTGCTGACGACTCTGCAAACTTCGAAGAGCACGGCAATTACAATCGCTGACTCGTTGGTCGTGTCGGAGGAAACGGAGATCGAAATCGACAAGGCGAGGGAGGCTTATCGAGCCTGCTCGAAGCGAGCGGCGCTGCTCTTCTTCGTGCTCAACGACATGAGCAAGATCGACCCGATGTACCAGTTCTCGCTGGACGCCTACATATCTCTGTTCAACATATCCATCGACAAGAGCCCCCAGCACTCGGAGCTCGCCGAGAGGATCGACGCCCTCAACGACTATCACACCTACGCCCTGTACAGGAACACCTGTCGGGGTTTGTTCGAGCAGCACAAGCTGCTCTTCTCCTTCCACGTGTGCATGCGAATACTCGAAGCCCAGGACAAGGTGGTGCGCTCGGAGTACAGCTTCCTGCTGACCGGCGGCATCGTCATCGACCGCGAAAGTCAGCCGGAGAAGCCGGTCGACTGGCTGCCCGACGAGGTCTGGGACAACGTCGCCGAGCTCGACAAGCTGCCCGGCTGCCAAGGCCTGGTCGCGTCCTTCGAGCAGTGCCCGCGTGACTGGCAAAGCTGGTGAGCGAGTCGCGCTCGACGCCGCGCTCGACACCTCACCCGACACCTCGCCCGACACCTCGCCGATCGCACGCAGGTACATGTCGAGCGAGCCCGAGAGCGAGAGCCTGCCGGCCGAGTGGGAGGAGCGCTGCGGCGAGTTCCAGCGCATGCTGGTCGTGCGCAGCTGCCGGCCGGACCGGACGACGAGCTGCCTGCGCAGCTTCGTCGTGGCCAACCTGGGCCAGCCGTTCGTCGAGCCGCCGGTCCTCGACGTCAGAGCCGTGCTCGACGACTCGACCGAGCGCACGCCCCTCGTGTTCGTGCTGTCGCCGGGCGTGGACCCGACCGCGGCGCTGCTGCAGCTCGCCGACAGCCAGGACATGGGCGACCGCTTCATGACGCTGTCGCTGGGCCAAGGCCAGGCGCCGATCGCTACCCGGTACCGGCGCGCCGCGCCCGCGACCCGCCCCTCGACCCCCCGCTCGACTTGGCCGTCCCTCGCCTTGCAGCATGATCGAGCTCGGCTCGCGCCAGGGCGCCTGGGTCTTCTTGGCCAACTGCCACCTGTCGCTCAGCTGGATGCCGAAGCTCGACAAGATCGTGGAGAACTTGGCGGGCAGCAGGGACGTGCACCCGCAGTTCAGGTCTGCACCGGCCGCGTTTACGTTCGTCAGGGCGGTCCGACTGACGAAAGCCCCGATCGGTACGCGCAGGTTGTGGCTGAGCTGCAGTCCCACGCCGCAGTTCCCCATCTCCATCCTGCAGGCGGGCATCAAGATGACCACTGAGCCGCCCAAGGGCCTCAAGGCCAACATGAAGCGGCTGTACGGCTTGCTGAGCGAGGCGCAGTTCGAGAGCTGCCAGGCCAAGCCCAAGTACAAGAAGCTGCTGTTCGCGCTGGTCTTCTTCCACGCGGTGCTGCTCGAGCGCAGGAAGTTCCAGCAGCTCGGCTGGAACGTGCTGTACAGCTTCAACGACTCGGACTTCGAGGTGTCGGAGAACCTGCTGCGCGTCTACCTGGACGAGTACGAGGAGACGCCGTGGGACGCGCTCAAGTACCTAATCGCGGGCATCTGCTACGGCGGCCACGTGACCGACGACTGGGATCGCCGGCTGCTGCTCAGCTACGTCGAGGAGTACTTGAGCGAGGCGGTGCTGCGCGTGCCGCAGTACCGGCTGTCGGCGCTGCCCACCTACTGCGTGCCGCGCGACGGCTCGCTCGACAGCTACCGCGACCTCGTGAGCGCGCTGCCGATGACCGACCGGCCGGAGGCCTTCGGCCAGCACCCCAACGCCGACATAGCCTCCCTCGTCACGGAGACGCGCGCGACGCTCGAGACGCTGGCGAGCATGCAGCCACAGACGGCGGCGGCGGCGGCGGCGGCGGCCGGCGACGGCGGCGGCGACGGCGGCGGCGACGGCGGCCCCTCGACCGAGGAGCGCGTCGACCGGCTGGCCGAGGACGTGGCCTCGCGGCTGCCGCGGCCCATAGACCTGGAGCGCGCCGCGCGCACCCTGGCCCGCGGCCCCCTGGAGGTGGTGCTGCTGCAGGAGGCCGCGCGCTACAACGCGCTGCTGGCGGCCGTGCGCTCGAGCCTGCGCGAGCTGCGCCGCGCCATCGCCGGCCTGGCCGTCATGTCGGCCGAGCTCGAGGAGACCTTCGGCTGCCTGCAGGAGGGCCGCGTGCCGCCGGGCTGGTCGCGCACCTACCCGTCGCTCAAGCCGCTGGCCGCCTGGACGCGCGACCTCGGGCTGCGCCTGGAGCACCTGGCCGGCTGGGCCGAGAGCGGCCGGCCGCCGGCGCGCTTCTGGCTGGCCGCCTTCACCTTCCCCACGGGCTTCCTCACGGCCGTGCTGCAGAGCCAGGCGAGGCGCGCGCGGCTGCCCATCGACTCGCTCTCGTGGGAGTTCGCCGTGCTGAAGCCCGAGCTCGAGCGCGGCCTCGCCCCGCCGCCCGCGGACGGCGTCTACGTGCGCTCCCTGTACCTCGAGGGCGCCGGCTGGGACGCCCGGCTGGGCGCGCTCGTGGACCCGGCCCCGATGCAGCTCGTCTGCGACATGCCGGTGGTGCACTTCAAGCCGACCGAGCAGCCGCGCAGGAAAGCCAAAGGTGCGCGAAAGCGAGCGACCGATCGCGCGACTATTCCGTGAGCGATGTCGACTGTTTCGTTGGCGCGCTTGATCCGACGACCAGTCTAACGAGCGTCGTGCGGGCGGAGGTGGCTGCGAGCAGAAGCTTATAGCAGCCAGCTGGGAGTAACGTTTGATTTATGTTCGAAGGCCTGTACAGCTGCCCCTGCTATTACTACCCGCAGCGCTCTGGAGACCAAGGCAGGCCCGCCTACGTAGTTACGGTTGATTTAAATGCTGGCGCAGAAAACGCTGCTTTCTGGACCAAACGCGGAACAGCTTTACTTTTAAGTCTAGCCTCGTAATTTACAATGCTCTTAGAGTATTGTTATTGCTTAAGTGCTTTGCGTTCGATTCAGTGATTACTCTGCTACTCGCTACCGCTTGCTTGATTCTTTATTGTCACAAGCCCTACAATAAAAGTCTGTTTCAACACTGCGACTTACTTTCGTTCGTTATGTCTGTTTATTCGAAATCATTGTACAATTTTACAAAGTAAGTTTTTCCGATTATTTCAGCCGGTCGGCTATGTATTCGATGTTGACGATAACGATTTTCATGGCTATTCATGGCGATACAACTCATTGCTCTCCGAACAATCGAGACGCTAGTGTTTATTTGTCTGGCGTGCCGCTACAGCTGGTTGAGTAACGTTTACGTTCAATAGCTCTGGACTGAAATGTCTAATAAATGTTCGCTGCGCATTGCACAAGCTTATCATTCGGAGCTTGAAATGGAAATAAAAGCAAGTTTTTTTTCGACCAGATTACCCGGAAAATGACTAAACCGATTACGCCTTCTACTTTTAACGCGTTTTCATATTTCAGCTTGTCTGCATATGACATTCGCGCGAAAGGACTCGCTCAAACATTAATAATCCAATATTAACGCGATTGCCCGAAAAATAGCTTTAAACATTTATGTTGGAAAGCCGATGATATGTATTATCTTTTGAGCCATTTGACGTATACACATACGATTGCAAATATGATTGAATCCACAGGAAAACGTGCAGTCTCTTATATCGACTCACGGGATACATTGGAAATGTCGGTTAAATGATCAACCTTCAACTAAAGCAAATACATAAAAAGTAAACAATCACTTATCCGCGTGAAATAATATTGCATGGAAAATTGTTTGATTACTACGAGTATTAAGACTAAAGATATTATTGCATCAACTGTAGCAGCGAGTATAAAATAAAAGTTAATAAACATTGGCCGCATTTAAGTAGCACTTTTCCATTCCCATAGATCCGCAGCTGTGTTGCGGGAATATTTTTAAAATGCTGCCCGCATAAAGAATACAGCAATGGTTGCGCAAAAGTTGAATTTGATAAATGTCATATCAAGCGTCGCGGCTGAACCGACAGCCGCGGAAAGTCGCGTATCAGCAACTGTCATCACGTCTGTGGCGGCTTTCACTTTACCTAACCACTCCGCTGTAACGGCTTTCAAGTTTTCTTGCATCTCGGCTAAGCTATTCTTTACGCTGATCTTTGTCTTATTCTTCTTCGCCTGCTTCTTCGACGCGGGATCGCCGGGTATCGACTGATTGGATTCGATATCATCGATCGCGTCCTCAATCGTGCTATTCACTTGATCTCGAAAACTGAGCAAGTCTTCCTTCATTATTGCCACCAAGTTAACTTGAGTCGGCACCGCGTGGATGCCGGCAAAATTATTTTTCAGCGAACCGAACGCACTGTTCAAATAATCGCGGAAGCTCGCCCACTTGGGATCAGCCGGCGGTATAGTTTGAATGTCCGCGAGCAGTCTGTCGATCGTGTTGTTGATTTGATTCTTCCAGCCGAGCCAATCGAACAGCGAGGCATCTTCCGCAGCGAACTCTTGGTTATCGCTTTCCGCCATATCTTTTGTCTTGAAGGCAGATATATCCTTTTTCAATTTACTAACGGAAGCTTTCACCTCTTTTTTATAAGCCAACCAATCAGCGGCGGAGCTGTTTACCGGGGGCTTTTTAGCTTTGATCAAATCCACTAAACTCGCCAGAGAATTGTTCAAATCATCGTTGGAAGCCATCGCGTCGAACGCGCCAGTATCCGCGGCTTTCATCAACTTTGGCTTGCTCTTGCTTTTATTTTTCGGATACGAGCTCGCGTACTTACTCTGCATGCCGGCGAAAGCATCGCCCATTTTCCGCTGAAAAGCCAGCCAGTCTTGCTGCGGGCTTCCAGGCGCGGGTCTGTTCGCGTTGATTTCGGCCACTATCTGCGCAATCGTCTTATCGACTTGATCGTCGGTTTGGTTAGCCAGCGGCGCCGGACGATCGGCGTTCTTGGCCGGCGCGTCCGACGGCTCCGCTGCAGGCCCGATCGACTCGCGCAGAGCTGCGAACTGATCGACGAATTGGGAAAAGCTATCGTTCAGCTGCTTTTGGAATTGCAGCCAGTCTGCGGCGGTGCTGCCCGGCGGAGGCCTTTTCGCAAGAGTCGACGCGACGAGCTCGCTCAAAGACGCATTCAGCTGGGCCGTGAATCGAACCCAGTCGAAGGTCGGCTCGTCGCCTGCTTTGTCGAGCTTGAGCGCCGGGCCGAGCGGCTTCGGATGCAGTCCCGCAAACATGTCTTTGATCTCGATCAACGAGTGGTTGACTTTGGCGCCGAAGGCCAGCCAGTCGGCCGGCTTGCTGCCGGCAGGCGGTCTGCTCGAGTTGATGGATCTGACGACGTCCGTGATGGTGGCGTTGATTTCATTCCTGATGGCGATCCAATCGATCGCGGGTACTTGGCCAAACACCTCGGCATTGCCGGCTCCGGATTTGGCCAGCCTCGGCTTCGGATGAATCACTTTGAATTTCTTCTTGACGTCTAATAACGAGTCGTTAATCTTCTTCCGATAAGCCAGCCAGTCGGCCGGAAGACTCGCCGGCGCGGGCTTATTCGCAATAATGGAATCCATAACTTCCGAGACGGTCCTGGACACGGCATCCTTCAAGCCCATCCAATCGAAGACGCCCGCCGGCGGCGCGGCTTGCGCTGCTGGCGCGCTGCTCGGCAGGCTCACGTTGGTCGCGACTTTCGGGTGTAAAGCCGAGAATTTATCTCTCAGAGCGCTGAAAGTTGCGTTAACGTTCGTTTGGAAGGCCAGCCAGTCGGCCGGAAGACTGCCAACAGGTGGTTTCTTGGCGGCGATGTTCGCGACGATGTCGGCGATGGTCCTGTTCACGTCGGTCTTAAACTTGAGCCAGTCGAAAGCCGGCACGGTCGCGTCCGACAGCGCGAGCACGGTGGCGTCCGCCCGCCAAGCTCGGAGCGAGGGCTGGCCGAGGTCCTCGCAAGAAACCATCGGATTGTCCGGTCCGACGGAGCGCATGACCCAGGGCTGCACCTCGGTGATGCCGTCGGAGGTGTCGCAAATCACGCGGGCCAAGCTCGTCTTCCTGATCTCGCGCAGCTGCTCTGAAAGTACGCACAGGGAGTTGCGGTGCTCGAGTCGCGCGGCGTCGCGCGAGGCCTACCTTCGGTGAAGGCGCCGGGCTGCTCGGCGCTCTCGTACCAGTAGCGGTCGCCGGACTGCAGCCGCTGGAACTGGTCGGCGATCAGGCAGCCGAAGGTGGGCCCGAGCAGGCCGTCGCCGCGCGGCAGCTCGGCCAGCGCGCCCGTGTACAGGTCGACGTCGTCCACGCTGTCGTACAGCTCGGAGATGGCGGCCAGCGCCGCGGGGTCCATCTCGGCCGCGAGCTCGTCGAAGCTCGCGGGCCGGCCCAGCTGGCAGAATTGGCGCCAGGCGGCGTAGCCGGGCAGCCCGTGGTCGCGGCCGCGCTGGATGTTCAGGGAGACGAGGTCGAGGCCGCACGGCAGCCCGGCCGTCGTGCCGTTGGCCAGCGGGTCCTCGAACAGGTGCTGGGTCAGCTGCGCGCTCACGTGCGTCGAGGTCCGCTGGATGGCGTTGGAGGTGGCGCTCGCGATGGAGCTCTCCAGACCGCCTGGTGGTCGGGTCCGGTCCGCGCCGAGAACAGACGGCTGAGCAGAGCGGCAGCAGCAGCGGCGGCGGCGGCGGCGGCGAGCGCGCGCTTACCTGGGCTGTACAGGCTGTAGGGGTTGAAGAGCATCTTGTGCAGCTGCACGTAGGCGGCGCCGGCGCTCCGGCGGTCGGTCACCCGCATCAGGCCGGGCAGCAGCGTGTGCGCGAAGCGGAAGGCCGCGGCCGCGAAGTGGTTGGCGACGCTGGGGTCGGGCGGCGTGGCGGGCGGCGCGCGGAAGCCCGCGGCCAGCGGCGCGAGGCCGCGCCGGCCCATCTCGGCCGCGCCCAGCACCACGGGCAGGAACTCGGCGTAGGCCACGTGCTGCAGCTGGGCGCCGACGACGCGGCGCGCCTCCTGGTACAGCCGCTCGTCGTCCCAGTGGGGGTTGGCTTCGGCCAGCCGCCGGGCCAGCAGGTTGTGCTGGCGCGCCCACAGCAGGTGCATGCTGGTCAGGTGCAGGTTCTCGTTGGCGCGGGCGTCGCCGCTCGCGAAGCAGTAGCGCCCGCGCGCCAGCTCCTGCTGTCGGTCGCAGCCGTCCTCGGGCGCCGTGCTCGCCGGCAGCAGCGTGCGGTTGTCCGGGGTGAGCTGCATGCGCAGCCGGCCGCCCGCGAGCTCGCGCAGCGCCTGCGCGGTGTCCGCGTCCGAGCCGTAGATCATCGAGCCGTCGATGAAGGCCGTCACCTGTCGTCGTCGGCGTTCAGTCGCTGCCCGGCTCGGCCCGAGCGACCCCGCCGGAATGACCGCGTCAGAGCCACTTGGTCGACGGTTTCCGCGTTCGCGCGCGAATTCGCGTTTCGCCTCTTCCGCGTTCGCGTTCGACCGCCGCGGCCTGCGCAGCATTTGCATTTCTGATTGAGATTAAGCTCATCATCCAATTGTATTAATTGCCAAGCCTGCTCTACGCATTTTCGGCTGATCAATTTTCGATGCGGGCGCTACGCGTCGACATTGCTCGGAAATCTCGCTCCATCGATTCCGCGCGGCAACGCGAAAACTCGCTCGCGCAAATCCGCTTTATCAATTAATCCCCCGACGCGACTGCAGCCCTGTAATGTGCGCGACTGCTCGCGCTCCGACTGGCGGCTGCCTGTACTCGCTAATTCGGTAATCGGCTGATTTCTCAAGAACAACCAGATCGTTCGTTGAACAACTACGCCTTTGGCGGCTTATCGAGTATTCAAAACTCGGCGGCGGCGGCGGGCGGCACGTGCCGATACCGGCGAACTCGGACGTCGACGTGATCGTGCTCTGGCGCGGCTCGCCTGACCTTTGCGCCGTAGAAGGAAGCACAGGAGGAAAGGTAGAAAGAGGCGTCGGGAGGAAGGTAAGGGAGCCTCAAAGCTGCAAAGGAGCGGCGCGATGAAGCAGTAGACCTGGCGTTTTTGAGAGAGCCGCCGGGCTGCCTCGGAGCTGGCACAAAGACAAAGGGTCGGGCAGGCAGGCGGCTAACGAAGTGAGCGCGAGACGGACAAAGACCAGGCGGGGGCGGCGAGGCGGCCGGAGGAGCCGGCGAATTACCTGATTGAGCTGCTGCCTCGGGCCGATCCTGCACTGGGCGGCCGGGGCCGAGCGCACGAATTCCATGCACGAACTGCCGGCGAGGTCGTAGACCGGATCGCCCGGGCCGACGCGCACCGGGAAGCACTCGGGGTGCGGGCTGACGGGCGCGCCCGCGTCCGCGTCCGCGTCCGGGCAGCAGGCCAGCGAGCCGCCGTCGGCGCCCCGGCTGACGGCCGTGGCGGTGATGTCGTGGTCGAGGAACTGGCCGAACACCGCCAGCATCACCGTGAACGAGGGGTTGCTGCTGGGCGAGGGCGAGTGCACCTGCGCAGACAACGGAGCGCCGTGAGGGCACGCAGAGGCGGCCAGCCTGCGACAGGCGGTGCCGACCTTCAGGCTGACCTCCCTGGCGGAGGGTAGGGCGCCGCCGAGCTTGGCGACGCGGGGTGCGCCAATGCCGTCGGCGTAGTCGGGCGGCAGGGCCCGGCGGTAGGGGCTGAAGGCCGCGCCGAGCCGCCCGGGCCGGTTGCAGGACCCGTCGAAGCGCCGGTACTTGGGCGCGACGGCCGGGCAGTCGGCGTCCGGGCGGCCGGCGCACGGCCCGCCCGGCGCGTCCGCCCAGCCGCCGTCGAGCCGGCTGCCGAAGCTCGAGGCGCGGCCCATGAAGCTGCGCGCCTGCTCGACGCGCCGCGTGGCCGCCAGCTCGGCCGTGGCCGCCAGCGCGAGCTCGTTGGCGCGGGCGCTCGTGCTCACGGCGAACTGGTGCCGCCACACGGCCGAGGGCGCCTGTAGTGGGCGCGCGGCCGCGTCGGCCAGCCGCCGAGCCGCTAGGGCCTCGTTGCCGGCCCGCAGCGCCTCAGCCAGCTCCTGCGCGCTCAGCTCCGCGGCCTCCGGCGTGCCCGTCGCCTGCAGCGGTCCGCTCGCCTCCTGCCGCGACGAGACGTTCGTCGTGGGCGGCAGCAGGTCTGGGTGGTTCACCGAGTAACTGATCGTCACTATCAGCGCCAAGATGAAGGTCGCTCTGCAATTTCGTCATCGTTCGCTCGTACATTCTCCGTCCGAGCTCTCGCACTGTGACGCGCGGTTCGATTCGGCATATCGTCGGTCCGCGATACGTCGCGCGTCGCGAAAGGGGGACAAACGTTTAGTTATCAAGCCTTTTATTCTCAACCGGCCAGCGAGACAGCTGCTCTGCTGCATAAAAAAGTTTTCTCCATTAATATACCGCGAAGTAAAGCAATATGTGACAAGGTTGGATTCGCGTAACGCAGAGACGGCAAGGCATCGCTGTGCTCATAGAAAGTGCGAGATCAAACGTTTCTTTTACGAAGAGAAAAAAATAGCCAGCGGTTGCATAAAACTTATTTGCATTGCGTACTTGAGCGTGTAAACAAGGCACGCACGCGCAACGTTAGATAATATTTGTATTGACCGGAGATTGAATGTTCGATCGAATGATCAAATCTGCCACCGTCGACACGACAAACGAGCATGAAAGGACCGGTCTGCGCGTTCGAATGACCGCCCGGAAAGTGCGACCAAACAAAGCGCTAGTGGCATTGCTCTTGGCACGCTACCGCGCGCTAACAGTTCTGTCAAGGCAGGCCGATGAAATTTGGCTCGATCGCTCGCAGCCGAGCTCGAAGTTAGTGAAAAGTACTGAGGCTCACATGATGGTAACGAACATGATGCATTGCAGTTGTCGTTCTCTTCTACGGCGCGAGTAAAAGCGATGCGTGTCTTGAACGTAAAAGGGCGCTGTCGTGCTCGAGCCAAAGCTCGGGCCCGCAAGGGTCAGCGGCGTCTTCTCCGTCGACATCGTTGATTTCGGCTGCCAGCACACAACCACTCGGCGAACCGAGCAGCATCCGCAAAAACTCGAGGCTGCGTCTATTCTCTCTCGTAGTCGAGTACCTAGCTGCGAAATAATGCGACATTGGCTACAAATCGATCGAAGCAGATCGGTCAGCCAGGTGAGTCGGGCCGTCGACGGCTAGCGTTAATCCCGCCAGCGAGCGCTGCAGCCATAGCGCGGTAGCGTGCAACAGTGAGCCGTGGCTTTCGTCGTCCAGTTCGAGCGGGATGCGGCGAGAGCGAAGCGGCCCCGGTCTCGGGACAGCGACGAGCAGCGCGTTAGTCGATGAGCGAAGCGAAAGCTTAAGGCCGCGAGGCGAGGATGCCGAAGCGGGGCTATAACAATGAGATAGAGACTCACGGAAGCGGCGGAAGAGCGAGCAGGTCCGAGCGCAGCCAGAGACGGTCTACGCAAGCTGAGCAGCGCGACGCGTCGACTGACCTCGGGTACAAAGAAGAGAGAGAAGACTGGATCGTTGGCGGCGCCGCCGACGCGGCTTACGTAACGTCGCGAGCGAGCTGCGTGTCGCGCACCTGCAGCGTACGTTGATGCGCGTACGCGTATCTGCCGGCGCTCTACTCGGTCGCTGGGAGTGGCGCGTGAATGTCCATGCAACGCCGTACAGACGAGTCGCTCTCCTCGCTACGGCGTGAATCGCTAATGACTCGGCGACGCCGCCGACTGGCGCTGCAGCTAGCCCGGGCGGATCAGCCCGAGCAGCCCTACAAATTCTCCTTTTTCAAGGGAGCAGGCTCCGCGCTCTCGCCCTCGCCCCCCCCCCCCCCTATCTCCGCCGGCGGCCCGGCTTTTTTCCTTAGCGCGCGCTGCTTCCTTTTTCTCCTCTTCCCATTCACTCGCGACAACGAGCCTGCCGCTGCCGCTGCTCGGCTGCACGCGCGCGCCTGGCTTCGCTATTCACCGCATCTCTTTTAATTGCACAACATTTTTCAATCGACGGCTCGACGCTTTTTGCGCGAATTTTCACGAGCCTTCCCGGACTATATGCTCGCGCCTGCAGCTGCGTTTCAATGGTTCGATTCGCTTGCGCGTGCGAACTCGATAAAGCAGCCAGCTCCATTCCTTCGCAGCGTATTTTCCTAGTGACAACTTTGCCAGTGCTCCGACAGACTAGCGTGTCTTCGCTTGACTTGCAGACAGCTGTGTCGCGTGTAATTCTGAATTTTTATCGACTCTGCGAGTGCACGCAGTGGATCAAGAATAAAAGGTTTGATAAAAACGTGGAAACTCAAAAACTCATTTCGGCGACTATACGTTGTAGTTGCGCGCGTGTGTAGCAAGCGATAAAGATGCGAACTTTCGAATAGCGACGATATACATACATGAGAAAAGCGCAAATGCAGCATTGAAACTGACGTATCCGGTTCTTGCGCCTTCGTACAATGCCAGCAAAGTCAATGTAGCCGTACTGCTCGGGAGGCCTTCTCAGAAAGGTCCGTTCCGTCGGCTGCTGCATGCTTGTCTCGCTGTCACGCTCGCTCGGACGATCCTCGCCCTTGTCGTAGCTTGTCGCGCACTGACTCCAAAGCCACGCAACGATACTGCCTTGCGCCCTCCTATAGCTGCTGATTCTCGCCCTACCACTTTGAGTCTCGGCTGCTCGCTTGCGTTCGCATGCCTTGCAGCTATCACTTGTCGCATCATACAACTGACAGCCAGTTCGGATACCTTCGAGACGAGTTCCACTTATCTTTCGTTATTGTGTGCGTTGCGGCAAAACTATATTGGATTACTGCTCGTTGCAGGTCTTTTGTCACCACCAACATCTCGTGCAACATCAAAGAAAACAACATTCGCGTTACGACTTGTTTCAAAAGCGGTTATGTCTTAGACGTCTTAACGAATGAGCTTTTGCGTGAATCGCTGAACTCGAACGTGCGACGAATGGATGAAAATCAATTTAACAACTGGAAGGATAAAATCTGTTTGGCATGATTGTAATGCTGAACGCGGAAGATGCGGCTGGTTACAAACGAATACGAATAGGAGTTCGCCGTGGCAGAGGTGAACGGAATAAATAGCCCAGCAGTTGTGCACAAAGATCATCGAAACAATGCTGCCGCAAGTGCAATCCGTAGACTAGGAAAGCAACTGCGGCGGGCTTGCTTTGAAAAGTCAGCAGGCTGGAAAGGCCGTCGAAGAGTATTTTGGCGTCGTATCGGATGCTGCCTCTAGCAAGGCGAGCGTATCGATGAGTATACATCGACTCGAGGCAGCGTGCAGCGTGCGCGCCTTCAAACGAGCGATCGAGACTGGTTCGGTTACGTAAGGTCGTTGCACGCCTAGGGTTTGTGTAACGTAAGCGCTACATATTTTTATCCTTTTATCCCGCGGCTCTTGCCACGGTATACCTTACCGAGAGCAGCAAAAATACCTGGGCTTTCTTTTCGCCGAGCCGCATCTTTTTTCATCCCCTCGCTCGCACGCTTCGATCGGTCTTCGATCGCTCGGGATGCGGCCGCGTAATCGAAAAGCAGATTTGACGGGTAGAGCCTGGTCGGCGACCTCTCCACGGCTGTAAGACGATAGGCGAAGGGAGGGCTTCGCTAGCAGGCTTCGCGCGGTTACTACGCGTGGCGACGAACCGCACAAGGGATAGAACGGAATAGCGCTCGCGACGGGGAGACGGGGCGACGGGGCGACGGGACGAGAGACGAAGGAAAGCGCCGATACAAGCGCTTACGTAAGGCGGAAGGTCGCTGCACGAGGCGCGTGATCGCGAGGCCCGGAGCGAATCGGTCGCCGGAGCGCGTCAGCTGGCGGCATCGCAAGCGCAAGAGGCGAGTGGCGAGTGGCGAGCAGCGCCCACTACTCGCTCAGCGAGAACGCGCCGGCGGCGCCGCAGCAAAAGTTGCGTCGGCGAGAGGCGCGCAGCTCCAGCCACTGCTCTTGGTTGGGCACGTACATCTCGGCCGGCATCCGCTCCGGTCCCAGAGACTGCGCCGAGTCGTCGTCGTCGCCGTCGTCGTCGTCGTCGTCGGCGCGCCGAGCTGCAACAGCGCGGCTCGATCGGCTCGTCGGCTCGTCGGCTCGTCCGTGCGCCCGCCCGCCCGCCCACCCGCTCGTACCGGCTCTCCTGCTGCTCGTCGAGCTCATCGAGACCGCCTCGCCGGGCCGGCGGAGGAGCAGCCGACCCACGCCCTCGCAGCGGCGCAGCACCTCGTTCCTCAGCAGCTGGCGGCGCAGTGCGTCCGAGGCCGCGGGGCAGTCGGCCACCCAGGTGAGCACGCGGCCGAAGTCGGCCAGCAGCTGCAAAGCCCCCCGCTCGCTGAACTTCACCCTGTGCAAGTAGATGTAGTCCAGCCAGGCCTCGCACATGATGCGCAGCACCATGTTCGGGGTCTCGGGTTCGTCGGCCACGCGGAGGACCGGCAGCAGCACCCGCTCTGAAACGGCGAGTCAGTCACGGCTTTGGCGACGGCTCGGCGGGCGCCAAGTGGGCGGAACGGCTGCCGCCTGCTCACCGAAGTACGTATCGACGTAGGCGCTCGGGCCGCGGCCCGAGAGCGGCGAGCTGCTGCGCCAGTAGCTCGGCTCGGGGAAGCACATGTGCAGGCTGGCCAGGCTGACCACCCGGCCGATCTGGGCCAGGATGCCGAGGCACCACGCCGGCGCCTCCTGGAGCAAACGGGCAAACGCGCAGCTCGCACCGGCGCTCACCAGCCAGCTTTGGCAAATCGGGCTGAGGGCGTCGGCCGCGCCGCCCTTACCTGCAGCAGTTGCACGTTGGCCTTCACCTCGGAGGCGATCTTGGCCCGCATCTTGCCGCAGACGTGCACCTGCACGCTCGCCGCGCCGCCGCCTGGGTCGCCGTCGTGATCTGCGAGCTGAAAGACCGAGCGTGAGCGCGCGCTTCCACCGGGCGCGCAGCTCTTACCTTCAGACGGGACAAGATGTCCAGGCAGCGGACCACGTCCGCCTTGACGATCAGGAAGAAGACCTGCAGCTCCCAGCTGTGAGCGATCGCCCGGGCCTCCTGCGTAGCCCAGAGTCGCATCGTGTGCACCGAGTGGTCCATTCTGTGCAGGACGATTATTTGCTCCGACAGCGGCAGCTCGCCGAGGGCTGCGCCAACTGCCCACTCGCCGCTGCTTTCGCACTCGTTGCTCAGCGTCGTCAGCAGCTCGAACACCTCGGCAAACTGTCGCCCCGTGTCGGTGCTTTTCCTGCTGCGCCCCCTTGAATCCTTGGAGTCAAGGAGTTCCGGCAAGCAACCGGTTCTCGATTAAATCCTTCCGATCTCCCTGTATCGTGTTCGCGCATCGATGGTCACGCTCGTCTTCGAGAATCGCCTACCTCCGTCACTTCCGAGGATGCTCTCGACTGGCAGTCGAAAGAGGCAATGTAAGCGAGTCGGAACAGCCGGTCCCATGCGGTGATGCTCACGTGACAGCCGAGCGCGTCGTAGAGAGTTTGAAGTGCTGGCCTTACCGTGGACGGCACTGTGAACAGCAGTCATTTCGCGCTTTTTCCGTTCTCGCCACTTTCCATGTTTGCGTCTTTCGGCTGCCTAAGCCCAACTCTGACAAGGTGAATGTCGCCTCTGCGGCTCGCCAATTCGCTCGTAACTCCCGTCATAAGTAGAGATCAGTGAGAAGGAGTCACGTCCATTGATCCTAACGCTCGATGTTTCTCCGATTATAGGCGATTTTTCTCAGGTCTTGGAAAACATGTAACACTCTTGTAATAGAAATAGCTTGTGATCCAGGCATCGTAAAGCTGAGATTAAAGTGTTTCGACGGAAAAGCAATTTGTTCAACAAGTATGAACTGTACTCAAACGTTCGGACGTATTTCACTTTGTTTATGAAATCTATCAAAAAAGGTTTATTTCGACAAAATATGTTAATGTCGTGTAACTTTGCAACTGTTTACTTTTGTTGTTTAATTGTCTTTTCCTTCGAAAACGTTTGAATTCACAGATCAAAGTGCTGTTGCTAGGTAATATTTAAATAACTCGACAATTTGATTCCAATTAAAAGCTACCTCCAGTACAATTAAGAGAGTAATTATTTAGCAAAGTTCGGGGGAAGTAGCCTGTAAGTATCGAGCGTTAGGATGGATGAACTTATTTGTGGGTATGGAAATTGAAGATCCCAAAGTGACATGCGAATCAATGAGCCGCGGATGAGGCAGTCACCTTGCTAGTAGTACAGTGCGAGATAACGTTATTTGGCACTACATTACCACCATTCCGTTGAATAAACTGATGCAGCCAGTCCTTTAAATGATGCGAACCTTGACTATGTCGAGCTGCCAACGCTTCGGATGACCACCAAAGAATGACATGATCCAAAATACTCGAGACCGAATCCCAGGCTACTTCTTGATAGAACTCTGTGACCCTTTTGATTGCCGTTTTGCGGAAAACCGTCTCGTCTGCCAAAATATCTTTACTCAATTTTCGTCAATCATTGTATTTTACGCATTGACCAAAAATATTAATACATCGATTATTTCATTATCGAAAATCGCTTATTTATTGCTGGAAAACATACACGGATAGAACGCTCGAAGCTACTAGAGCGTGCAACGTACGCACAACCGAGAATTGCGCTGTAAAAGCACAGATATAGTACAAGTGAACGTAAAACACACCATTTTCAATCTTAGTCGCATCTGGAGTCAGGAGCTGTGGTGATATGATTTTGACAACGTTCAAAAGCTGGACGACTTGATGATTTTGTGCATTAACTAAAGCTAACATACTTTCAACATTTGAAAATTCTTTTTGAGATGTAACAGTAGCTTTGGCCGGTGGATTCAAATGCTTCGTGAGCGTTCTGCCAAAAGATTAAACGATTTGAGCTGGTCACCCTATATAGTATGTACGACGACTCCATGGTTGGTATCTTGCTTTATTACCTATAGATTTCTATACTCGAATTCTCAGATATTTGCAAATCATTGGTAGTATCGAGCCTCGAATCATCCATATCGCAACTAGAACGATAATTAGCTAGAAGGCAATCAATCAGCTCATGGCAGTACTCCTCGGCGCGATTTTTAGCTAAGATCTTAGAAATAAAGATAAATTGAAATGTTAAAAGAGTTGAAAGGTAACGATATATACCTGTAATATGCGAGCCACCGAGATCTTCTTTAGCGGTTCTAACATGTTTGGACAATCGTTGTAAAATATGTTGACTGACGCATGGGACACTTCGTAATCCAAGCTCAATAAATCATTGTACACGTTGACCAATCTGTAACGTCAATGGATACTGACTGTTAATAAAATAAAACATTGTGCAGCTTCATCGCTAATGCCTTGCCTAAATATCATTCTAAGAAATTCATGATTAGTGTGAACGCTGATTGCAGTGATGAGGCGCCTTGTAGACCTGGCTACGGTGTTTGCGTCTCTTCGTAAAGTAATGCTTAAATGCTGAGTTTCGTATAAGAAAATTGGACATGTTGTTTTCACTGCTTCGGGCATCATTCTGTATTCTGGAATGACCGATTCCAAGTCTCGAATTACATGTTTTAGCTCCTGTAAGTTAACAATGGCGTGCTGTTACATTATTAGCCAAAGCTCGCAGTTTGTCAAGCACCAGTCGGTATGAAATCAATTGATTTCTTAGGAAAAGGATGTGTGCGAGCATAGAAAAACAATATGAACCAACCGAGTTGTGAGATCGTCAGCGAACAAAGCATTATTGCCCAATTGCTTGGCTTACCGTTTGATCGTAGGCATGACACGGCACCGCGTTCTTCTCGAGTTTGGCTATTTTGCGTGCCAGGTGGCCCATTGTTTCGCTGAGCGTCAAAGAATCCAAAAAGTATTTCTCGAGAGCGTCCGAAGCCCGGGGAAGCCACTTAGCGACGTTCGTCCTGTAATTGCTATCCATCCGTTCGATTCGTAGACTCATCGAGCCACTTTCCTTTTCTCGCTATTAATGTTAATATCTGGAAATGCTTCTTATTCTTATTCTTGTCTGCCAGTCTTTCCTAACTATTTACCCAATACGTTAACAGCGCGGTCGGTATACTTCAACAACTAAATTATAAAAACTTACATAGGTCAAAATCAATATCGTTGCCTCATTCACCAGTCAAACACATTTTTCTTTTAATTAATAATAATTAATGTAGTATTCCACCTTCTTTTTGTCAAATATACAACAATACATTATATCGTCTGTTGCTATGCTTTGCTCTTCCACAAATTCATTGGTAATTTGTAATGTTCTATGCAGACAGTAGAAAAGCAATAGAGGAGTTATTTGTGATCCAATTGCGCTTGTATAGCCCTGAAATAGAAGACCACCCATTTACCTCCTGACCCCGCTACAGCAGCAATAGAATAGTTGTCAAGGAAACGCCAATATCTGAGTCTATATTCTTTTACTCGTCACCATAGCTACTCGAGTAAAGAAGGCAGCAAGCACGTAGCTACGTTATACAACTATTATCTATAACTAAAATTTTTCTATTTTTTTAATTTCCTCCTACAATAATAGCTCAGTGCGACGAACAGTTTGCTTCATAATCTAGCGTAATTTTGAGCAGAAAAAATAAACGACCACTTGCGAAATAAAATCATTACAATTGAACATTTTTTTGAGCGTTTTCAAAGAACTGCTACAGATGTAACTGTACTTACAAAATGGAAAGTTACGAGCAATCCTTTGCAGATAGAGGCCTTGCAGTTAGCATCCACCCGCCAGTCCCGCCACCTTCGAATGCGCAAACTATAGCTGCATTCTTTTATGTCTATCAGCTGATAGCTCTGCTGATAGAGTAGGCCAAAGTCATCATTCGTATATTCCAACGCTTTTGGACAGTGTATTTACTGAAACAAATTTAATTCGACATGTTGACGTCTCTTAGACGAGCTTGCAATTTATCGGTATGTCAATTGCTTATGAAAATAAAATAATCACCAAGTAAAATAAATTGATTATATGGCTCCAACCTCTATCTTACGTAACCTCTAAACTGACGGCTCAAACGAAAACAATATTAATGTAATCGAATAAAAATAATAATAATAGATTTACAGCTTATTATTCATTGTAAAAATTGTTAGTATTAAATATCAGCTGTCAAAATAAGTATATTGAAATTTTAATTAACTGTATATAACAGTCATCACCCAAGGTTCATTATCAAATTCTATATTGTGTGTTAAATATTGTCTTTTCAATTTTTATATATGATGGTATATGGTTTGCGTATTGTAAATATTAATTAACTGAGTGATATATACATAACTTCTGTAAAACTCACAATCAAATAATCAGAAACTTGAATATGGTGATTGTAAAATTTTATACCATTGTATAGTGTAACATTTATGATTAACTACTAATCACTTCTATAATATTTAGATGTAAATTTTAGTGTAATATTCAAATTAAAACATAAATTTTCATTCTAGGCTCTAAAAAGCCTTAGAAGCTTACAAACTTCAGCTCCTCGTTCTTCGGATGCTTTATTTGTTGTAAGTATACATTTTATATATATTAACCACTGTTGATAAGCCATTATTATGGAAAACTATGAATTCATCAAAAGATATAGATATAATTTTTAAATTTTATAGTTTGGTTTAGATGAATCATTATTTATAAACCAAGTATTTTATTCTGTATTTTATTTCAGCATAGGGATACAGAACAAGATAATCCCCAGATTCCTTTTGAATTCAATGATGCAAACAAAAAAAGAATTGAAGCAATTTTAAAAATTTATCCAGAAGGACATAAAAGAGGAGCTATGATACCACTACTTGATATAGCTCAGCGGCAACATGGGTGGTTACCTATTTCAGCTATGCATAAAGTTGCAGAAATCCTTAATGTATCCAACATGAGAGTATATGAAGTTGCAACATTCTACACTATGTTCAATCGTAGACCAATGGGACAATACCATGTTCAAATATGCACATGTACACCATGCTGGTTGAGAGATTCTGATAGCATATTGAATGTTGTCAAAGAACAAACTAAATGTGAAATAGGAGGAAATTCAGAAGATATGATGTTTTCAGTTTCTGAAGTTGAATGCCTCGGTGCTTGTGCAAATGCTCCAATGCTACAAGTTAATGATGATTACTATGTATGTAAATATTATTAATTTTTATTGTTTTTTGAATAATAAGAAAATATTTAACAAAATTATATTTATTATAGGAGGATTTAACTCCAGAAACCACCAAAGCTATTATTGATGCTTTAAAAAAAGGTGAACGACCACCACCAGGACCACAATCTAGTAGATATGCCGCTGAGCCAGCTACAGGTCTCACAACTCTTACCTCTCCACCACCTGACCCAACTTTTGGATTACGATCTGATTTATAAATTGTGAATAATTTATCAAATATTTACAAAAATGTATTAGAGAAGTGTTTCGTTATAAGAGGAAGATAAAATTATTAAATAATGACAAATCTTTCAAAATCTTAAAATAGAACTGAATGAACAATCTAATTCATTTTTGTAAAATAAAAATAATTATAATATATTAAATATAGCTAAATATATATTAATGATAATATTCAATTAGGTTTACAGAATTCATCTTTCTGCAATTTTTGGTTGTTAATAAATAATGTTGAAAAATGGTTTTTTTAATTTTCATTTAAGTATTCATTCTTAATTTTTACTAATTATTTTTATTATCCATCTTAATTTTTACAATGTTTGTTCTTCTTTTCATTTGGTTGTGAATATTGACGTTCGTTGCGCTATTACCAGATGTTAAATGTTTGTTCTTGTAATTTTTTATATTTTTAATAATTTAGTAAAAATCTTTTTACTAAATTACATCAACAAAATTTTATTTTTAATTACTATCGTATGTAAAAATGTTCTACACCGTAACCGTGAAACATTCAGATCTTAAATTTCGGAAATCGTTTCTTCTAATGAACGTTTTTCCTATTTCATGTTGCGCGCTATACGTATCTCGAGTCTCGTTCGATAATCGATTCGATTTTTTCTTATGCACCTATCCCGGTCCCGGACTATATGTAAATGGCATGTTTGGCACATGGCATAACAAATAACAATGTAATGACCTTTTTTGTACAATCTAAGGAATAAGAAATCATAGGGTATGCGGTTAGAATTGCAATCTTAAAAAGAGCAAACGGAAAGGTAGAGTAGAAACTAGAAATTATTAAATTTTTTACTGATGACGAATAAAATCCGTGTGTAAAAAATAATTGTATGGAAATAATGTATTTTTTGTAGAAAGAAAGATCTAAAACAATTCCAATAAAACCATGGAATTTGATAACTTTGATCAATTTGCTACTGCAAGAGTTGATTATCAATATGTTATTGATGCTTGCATAACTGGTAATATTCCTATTATAAATGAATACTTATCAGATCATGGAGTGGATGATACCTTGAGCTCTGGTTGGACTTTACTATTATATGCAGCATCTTATGCTCAATCAGATGTAATTCAATACCTACTTGACCTTGGAGCTAATCCAAATATACATAATGAAGGATTTACTCCTTTAATGGCATTATCAAACACAGCCAAAGGTTCACCAAGCCAAAGATTCAAGTGCTTGCAATATTTGATTAAAGCCAAAGCAAACGTTGAAGCAGTAAGCAAACTCAGAGAAACAGCTTTAATGTTTGCTTGTAAAATACAAGAATTGGATTTTATATCAGAACTACTCAAGTATACAACGGATATTAACTATGTAGATAGTGAGCAGAAAACTGTCTTATTTTATGCAGTAGCCGAAAACCGATACGAAATAGTAAAACTTCTTATAGAGAATGGTGCTGATATTTCGTGGATTAATTTTCGAGGACATACTGTTTATGACATTGCTATCACTAAAGGGTATGATCAACTTATCTCCTTACTCCACAAAGATGAAAAAACTGAACATGGAGAAATTTTTGCCGATATTACTTTGTCATGGTTCAATATGTTTCCAACAATGGCAGAAGTAAATGCTAATAGTCTGGATAGTGATGTAGCTAGTATTTTATATGGAATGGGCCTTGATGGGTATAAAGCTCATTTCTGTGGCATGAATCTGAAAACTGTGTTACTGTTAGAGGAAGATGATTTAATAAAACTAGGAATTGACATAAGTGTCCATAGAAAAAGATTTATCCAAGATTTACTTAGATTCCATAAATATGAATGGAGTAGTAAAGTTCTAACTCTTGATCAATCGCAACCATTCACATGCTTTGAAGCAATTAAACTTTTGGGGAATTTAAATAGACAATTAAATGTTATGTCATGTAGTATAAACTTCACTAAAACTTGGTTCAATAAAATAAGAAAAACTGGAACTCTCACTTTTAGCAATGATGATAAACAAAAGTATGAAATATCCATTTTAGAAACGCAAAAAATTGCTTTACAAATACAAGATGTAGTTTTAAAAATAAGACACACTGCTGTCTTAATAAATCAGGAAAATTTCCATCTCACTTTACCTATATACATCAGCAAGAAATCAAAATTCAATTGTAAGTGGATTACTCTGGCAGTGGCTACTACAATAATTGGTGTTTATTTGATCAGAATGAAAAGCAACTGAATTGATTAGTATTACTTTTTATTTATTGCAATTTAATAAATTTTATAAAGTCAATTAAAATATATTTTCATATTATCAATGTGATAATAAGTCTTATAGAATTAGTTTTCACCATATTGATGGGCTGATAAGTTTTATAGAAAATCAACAATATGAGTGAATAGTACAAAAATCAATTAAAACTTTCATTCTTATTTAATAACAAAGATGGTACTGTATTTTTATTACATGTAAGATATATTATAAATGAAGAAAATAGGTTTTTTATTTTAGTTAAGTATGTATACAGAATTTTTAGTTTTCCAAACTGTAACTTTTTTGTTGTAAATATAATAGGACATTACAATAAATGACTTGATTATTTTCATTTTAATAATTTTAATATTAATTTCCTATTTCCATTTATCAAGTGTAGGTAATTGATAACCATATATATATATATAAAAGAAATTTAAGTCTTATACTTAAACCCAGATTCCAGAGCAGAAACGCTAATAAAATAAGATAATACAAGATTTCTTCTAATTAATACTTTAACTTTCATATATTTTTTAATTTTATATATATATATATCCAATTTTCTGTAAATCAAGTACTTTTAGTCAAATAAGTGCAAGTTAAGAATGATTTGTTTCTATATGAAAGTGAACTCTTAAATCGGTTTTATTTAATTTCAATTATCAATATAAAGTGTTGAATGAAAAGACATAATTTGTATATATGGGCTTGTCGGCTAGGTGTTACCGATCGTCAAGCCATACTGATGACTGATGAGTCCAATTAATCGCGCAATCGCGGTAACACTATGAGGATAGATCTTTGGCTTTTGTTGGCGAGTGCAGCCGCACTCGTCACGGATAAGGAAGTGGTAGGGAATACGCGGGAGATCACGCTAGACTCGAATTCTTCCCAGGCACTGAAAAATCTTTATTCTTCCTTTTAAATCGCGTAGTACAGCGACGTACGGCAGCTTGTCCGCGTCGGGGGCCGTAAGCGTCACAAGCAGGGCAAGCCTGCTTGGAAAGAGCGGCTGACGCTTGGCTAAGCGGACGATGGCGTTCCTTGGCGGCGATGGTGTGTCCTGTCGTGTCCTTGCCGCGTTCTTGTCGTGTTCTTGGTAGCGGCTGTAGGCGATGACGAAGGCAATCGGGTTGACGACGGGCAGCAGTTCGATTAATACTGAACTCCGTGTGTTGCGATGGGCGACCTTGTATAGGCCGCCAGGCCGGAGTTTGATCCGCATGAGCCGCTTAGGGATGACCAGATTAACTGGATTATTTAGCCATCATACCCCTAAGCCTCGCCTCCTAATCCGGCTAATTCAAACCGGAGATGCCTCTCCCGCCGCTGATTCAGGCCCGCAGGTGGCGGCAGCAGCCGGGGCTCGACCGCCACAGATTTTTCACTATCAAGCTCAAGGCAGACGGCGCCAGGCCGGTAAAGGTGCAAAAGTTATTGGAAGAAAAGCAGAGTTGGTTGACAGGTAAGATAAAATTGTAGACTATTTTATGTGCTTACTTTATCGTCAGTCATTATTTTTGTTTTTAGATTGATTTTCTATGATAGAAATAATAATTTTGGATTTGAGCAAGTGAAACAAGATGATGTTATTGAAACTCCACCTCCTGTCAATTACAAGGATATCAATTCATCAAGCCCGTGTCCTAGCTTTACTAAAAACCATTTTTAAATATTTTTAAATTAATGAAACATCTGATGATAAAGCATAAAAACTTTACAAAGGTGGATTTCTAAAATATATTAGACACTCAATCACAGGTATGTTCTGAACATTGATAACTATAGAAAGATTGCAAAAGTAAATGTAAATATTTTTTTAGGTACTATGTATTACATAAAAGGTTGTTGTAGAGCTGAAATGAAAAAACATGCAATATTCAGTTGATATATGCGCTTCAGTAATTTAGATACAGAAATGCAAGGCAGCTCTTGTGAGTGTCCTGTTGGACAAACTAAAGAAGCTCACTGTAAACATGTGATAATAGTATTAGTAACGATTAGACATTTCGTAAAGACCAAAACAATAGTAACTGAACAGACATGTACGCAAAAGTTACAAACGTTTCATCAACCAGGGAAGAAATATGCAAGCTCACCTAGGAAGGCTGAAAAGTTTAGAAAAAAACGACGAACCAACTGAAGATTTCAAAAAAATTTGGTATAATAATTATTTTAGAAACTTAATTATTTCCGGAGGATTCAATAGTGACATGTCCATAAAACAAATAGTGGAACCTGCTAACATGTACGCTGTACATGGGACCATTCTTTTTATACGAAAAAAACTACTGTTGATTTAGTGTTGGAATCACTGCGCGTACAAAATGTATCTGAAGATATGGTTGCAAATATAGAACTGTGCACTAGAAAACAAAGTGAAAGCTCAACGTGGAAGCTCGAGTGCACCGTAAGAATGACTGCAAGCTTGTTTCATTCGTGCTGCTCTAGATACAAGAATCCAGTGGCTGCTAAGTCATTAGTTGATAAAATAATGAATCTTGTACCGTTTTCATCGAAAGCTACGGAACATGGGAGGATTCACGAGTCAACAGCTGTGATTAAATTTTAAGAGATGTTTGACAATACTTTAGAAATTAACGAATGTGGACTATTTGTTCCTGTACACCGTCCTTACTTAGGTGCTACTCTAAACAGATTATTATTTAAAAAGGCTGTGATAGAAGTTAAATTTCCTTACACTAATAGGCACATGAGTATTAATTTTTGGCAACTGCTCCCTATCTTGAAAGAGACTCGAGCAATTATTTGAGACTGAAAAAAAACATCCTTATTATCAGGTACAAGGGCAATTGTACGTTACTAGTAGAAACTTATGTGAATTCGTAATTTTTACATTTGTTGATATTCGTGTGATACCTGTTGAAAGGGATGACGATTTCATAATTCACATGCTACAAAAGTTGGATTATTTTTATGATTGTTATTTAAAATCAGCTCTTTTTGAAAAATATTTATATAAAAACTACGAAGCTGTAGCTACGAACTGGTAGCTCT